CAGGTAGCATATATCCCTTGTTCCCTCTATTCTTATATCTCTATGATATATCCCTTGTTCCCTCTATTCTTATATCTCTATGATAAAAACTCTGTAGGGAAAAGTCTATTTTTTGTAACTGCACTTTCTGAGTTACGTTTGTGACCGGATGTCACTGACTAAGTAGAAAAGTCAACGTTAAACCAACCAGTCTCTGCTGAACCTTTAGAAGTGAACTTCCCCGAGGACCCTGCTGCCTAACCACGGTCGCCAGGGCGTTTTTAGAGACTCGCCCAAATTCTGGGAAGCTGGAACAAAGCCTGGAAAGCTGGACAGGCAAAGTCTCCCCAGATGCGCCTTTACTGCTAGGAGTTATACCGGGGGATTCCATTCCCGTTAGAGTCGTCGTCCCTGAGGAAGTGTTCGTACCACAGGACGCTCGTCTCAGGCGTATGGGTGTAAGGAAACGCGACAGAATGAACACGCACTTCGTAAAAGCGAATGAAAAGGAACCTATTTTCAAAAATTAATGAAACGATAACAGAAAAATACAGATCTATAAATCCTATAGTAACAGAATGAATTTACTGGACACAAAACAGAATAGTACGGAGGGTATGATGATAATTAACGCACTTATGGAATACGAAATAAGTATGTACAAGTGAGTGATGAATATAATGCGACTGATGAAAAGAAAACGATGAAAGAATCTTATACGACTTATCTACTAATACCACGCGGTCTAAACCACAAAAAAAAAAAACGTACACGTATAAAATAGAATTATCCCGCGAACCGATACGTCGATAAAACAAAACAATTATCCCCAAGCTTGGGAACGTTTTCTCCCTTTTTATGTATCTATTCCGACGCGGGACTACTGTCGAGAACACGTGGCGATCTGATCGGGCACGCACGGCGGGATGACGCAATACGCGTCACTTATTCCACCGGGCTGTCCTTTGTTTCCGCTGACGACGGGATTCTTTCCGTACTAAACTTAGCTTTCCGCTCCCGTCCACCGGTACCGCGGTCCACGTCGGATTTCCCACAGGGTGCCTCGGTTCTGCGACGAGTCTCAATTTTGCGGAAAATTACGGGGGGAATGGTGGCGATTTTTTAGATCACTTACCGTCGCCAGGCGTTCGGTCGTTTCTTCACGTCTCCCTGTGTCTCCACCAAGAGATTCGCACCAGGATATCTCCGCCGGCTTTCCTCTCCGTCAGCAACTTCTCCAAGATCCCTTGCCTCTTTCGTCCCTGCGCAGTTTCTTCGCTTCTTTCAATCGACGTCTTCTCGGATCCCTTGCCTCTTTTGTCCCTGCGCAGTTTCTTCGCTTCTTTGACTCAACGTCTTCTCGAATCTCGTGCTCGCCTGCAACTGCGTCATTTACTTCTTCCTCAATTTCAAACGTTTCACGGTGCTTCCTGATTTGCTATCGGGCTTGGCCAATCGCAGTCGTCTCGCTTTGTACCAGCCAGGGTCTGCGATGCCCCCTACCGGAGATCTCCTTTACTTCCGTTCAGCCGCGCTCTCCCACGCGACTGAACCTCCGGTTGCACGTTGTAATATTATTTACATTATTATTAAATTTAAACCGGGCATATGAGTTACCTTTCAAGCGGAATCTATTGATCTATTTAGTAATATATTAGAAATGCACCAATCGGACAATATTTCTAGAATGTTACTAAATATCACTAGAGCTCGACAAATCAATTGTGATTGGTCAATTTCTTACGGCTCAAGGTTTAGGGTGCGTTTGAGCAGCAAGTTGTTAGCACTGATCAGCTCTAACGATGTCATTCCACCCTTGTCGCATATCTAACGTGAGACAAAGATAAATAGACGCGTTAGCGCTAAAAGCATCTCCCTGAAGACACCCTCACTTACACTTATTGCAGATCCGGACTTAGTAGAGTTCGACCGTCTTCACTGGTATCTTATCGATGGCCGACATCTATGGCGCGCTTCGTGGTGTTTTGTGTTTTCGGAATTCTCTCTTCCATCTCTCTCCCTCCCTCTCTTGTTCTCCTCTGTTGCCCCCACCATTGATGCGCTGATATCGCGCGTCAACTCCGACCACTCGTCTCTCTCCTCACCTCCGATGTTCCCATCAGAGCTATTCTGTGGCACGGAATTAACGCCACGATCGACGAGTATCTGACGTACGAGTGACAACATGTAGAGTTTAGTTCGTCACGAAGTCATGTCAACGTGATCGAAGTTGTGAATCTGGCGATCAACATATCCACTCGTTGAAGCGGAGGACAGCCACGGCTACGACGACGACGTTCTCGTCGGCGTATCGATCCTCCTCGATGCATCCCTATGCTGGTAAACAGTCGACCTCGCCCGCAGCAGCAAGTCGGTAGAGATCACCACCACCACCGGGAAGAGATGGAGATCATCGGCGACTACGAGTACAATGGTCGTGATATGATCGGTAACGGCGCCTTCGCTGTGGTTTTCAGGGGCAGACATCGCAAAGTAAGCACCACTCCTGCAACTGTCGTTGTTTTGTTTGCGAGCGAGAATTAATCATTGATCATTTAAAATTTAAATAATAGACGGTAAAGGTATAGTCGGTCACAGAACGATTCAGCCGGATCTCTTTCTAATGAAGTTAGCAGCTCTACAAGTTATTACAATGTGAGTCACTACCCGCAGGCTTATGCGGTGATTGGTTATGAGAGAAGACGAAATATCTATACATATAAATATTGGTCTTTTTTATACTCTTATCTGATAAGAGTATAATAAATGTACTTAAGTTTTTCCTGAATCCATTGTAGTTTTGATACGTCGGATGTCGATGCCTTGTGTATCGTTGGTTCCTGTTATAACCAATTATTGTGTAAGTTCATCAGCAGTAGCCTGCAATTGTGGTAACTTGAAGCATTTCGAACTTCATAAGAAAGGAAGCTAATGCTTGGTTTCATCAATGTCAATTAAACCTTAACTTGAGTTTGTGTCTGTCTAAAGAGAGTTTAAATTTAGATCAATGTTTAATAAATATTGGTCAGGCACTAGTTGTTCTGCAACTGATTGTACTTAGATGTATAAATGTATAATTAATCAAATGCAAATGCGAACCGACGAGAACTCAATTCACATATATTAATGAATATGGATTGATAACATTTCAATTGCTTGCTGATATTACTTACTATAACAACTCAATTTACTAAAATTTTGGCCTTTAATTGTTTTTGCTTGTTTATAAACTTTAGTAACTACTCTTCATTTAGCTTGAACAAATTGATACAATTATCATCTACTCACCATTCTAGATTTTTTTGAAGTCTTTTTTAGAGTCTGTAATACTCTGAGATTTTCTTGTAAAACTTTATCAACTTATAAGATAATGCAATGTTTTTTTCTACTCTAAGATTTTTTTATCTTGTACAACATATCCTGTGATTCATGTTTTACAGAAACCAAATTTTGTGGTGGCCATCAAATGTATTACAAAAAAGAATTTGGCCAAATCACAAGAACTGCTCAAGGAAGAGATCAAGATCCTAAAGGTATATTTATTCTATATAAATTTGATTAATAATAGTAAAGAAGAGACAGAGAGAATATATTTTATAAATCTATGATACACATTCTTCCTTTATATATTGTTACAGACATATTCTTGTGTGTGTTTGTTGTAATAAGAATATTGATTTATTTTACAGGCATTGACCAGACTGCATCACAAGAATGTTGTTGCATTGTATGATTGTAAAGTAAGATCCTATTCATTTCTCAAAAAAATATTCTTTGCTGTGTAAAGCAAAAATTAAAGATTAAAAGATTAATATTCTCTTTATGCACACAGGACTCTACTCATAACGTCTTCCTAATCATGGAGTATTGTAATGGTGGGGATTTGGCGGATTACTTAACTGGTGAGTCCAATTTGACATATTTAAATAGTCTTATATTCGATATATCAAAATTAATATCCGACAATAAAATTAGAGTATACTTGATTCTGTAATATTTTGGTCCATTATTTAGTGATAAATTAAGTTCTAATATGTATGCATCATTTTTGCATGTATAAATTTACCTCTGCTTTCCAGCAAAGGGCAGTCTCTCGGAAGATACTATCAGGCTGTTTCTGAGGCAGATAGCCGAAGCGATGAAGATACTGCACGAAAAAGGTATAGTACACAGGGATCTCAAGCCGCAGAACATTCTGTTGAGTTATAGCGGCGGCAGAGCGTGTCCACAGCCACATCAAATAACGGTGAAGATAGGTAAGAGCTTCTTTTGTCTTAACATGTTCACTCAATTCTCTCATGTGTAACATCAATTTTTAACATTAAACCCTAACGTTAAGTTAAGCCAATGGCACACGGTGAATGTTTCCACGTTGAATCGCATGCAAAGCGAGTAAATTATTAAAAGCATAGCACAGAACGCAGCGTTTATGACATGGTAACTGTGTCGCATTCAACAGAAAAACACGCATCGTGTGCCCTACTAATAATGAAAAACGACAGTTTCTAATTTTGTGAATGTCCGCTACTTTCAGAGGGGCTATTACGGTTCTCGGGACGAGGTGAAAATGACAAAAGTGAGCAAATTTACTAGAATATTTATAATATAATTTCATTGGTCAACGCTTAATAAATTCGCTCACTTTTGCAATTTTTACCTTTCTCCCTCTCGAGAACCGTATAATAGTCCCTCCGGGCTTATTCTGACATGATTTTTACATGAATTTTAGCGGATTTCGGTTTCGCCCGATTTCTGAAGGATGGCGTGATGGCCGCTACATTGTGCGGCTCACCGATGTACATGGCGCCGGAAGTGATCATGTCGCACAAGTACGACGCGAAAGCGGACCTGTGGTCCCTAGGTACCATTGTGTATCAATGTCTCACCGGCAAGGCACCATTCCAGGCTAGCAACCCCCATGCGCTCAAGTCAATGTACGAGAAGAACGTGGACCTCAGACCCGACATACCGTCTGGGACGTCGCCGGAGCTGACGCATCTCTTGATGGGTTTGCTGAAGCGCAATCCACCGGATCGCATGAGCTTCGACGAGTTCTTCGTCCACCCGTTCCTCCAGGGTACTAGGATGACTCCGAGCCCGGTGTCCGCTGAGTTGTCGGCATCGCCGAGAACGACGGCGATGCCGGAGGCTGCGCCGATCGTCGATAGGTCGGAGGAGCCCGAGACGAGCAGTCCGTGCTCCAGTCCCGAGGACGATTTCGTCCTCGTGCCGAGCGATCTCAGCAGCGACGCCGACAATAATCCCAACCCGCAGCCGGTCAAGTATACCAAACAGGCGAGCAGGGACGCCGTCAGCCCGCCGCGGCCGTGCTTATCAAAATTTGGCGATTACACCAGGCAGACGAGCAGGGAAGCCGTCAGCCCGCCCAGGCCGTGCTACCTTCCCATCTCCGAGCCGATACCTGTACCGTGCAACCGGAACACGGCTCCGCAACCGTCGTCACCTTCGACGAACGCCCGGTCAGGAAGCAGCGTCGTGCCCCGATCTCAACCCATCAGCATGAAGCGCAGCGTGGACTCCCACAGGAATCATCCGCCCGACATCGGCTCTCTCAGCCCGCCAAGCGTGCAGTTTGTCATCGGCACTCCGCCCGGCAGAAGGTAGCCGATTCTATTTTCTTTATTCTGTCATAGTGCTTAAAGCCTCCTTCAGTCACTTAAAGCAGAGTCTGCAATGAGAATGTAAACCTTAAGAAATTGACCGATCACAGTCGATTATTCTTCTCATGTTCGACTGTGATTGGTCAATCTCTTAAGGCTTACGTCTTAAATTGTCACTGTAGACCCTGCTTAAGGTTAAGTCTACAATAGGTGTAGGTAAGTCTTAAGCCATATAATTAGGCCTATTCATGTTTCAACTAAATTAATATTCCACTGAAACTTCGTACCCTTTCCCCTTACCGCTGGGTTATATACTTGTTTCCCTCTAATGCTCGTTTCTATCATTATAATTTAAATCTAATCGACGATTAGTTCAACGGAATTAACCATGCAATCGCATTAGCCAATTAGCTGAACCGACCAATACGATTGAGTTAATTGTCAATTCAATTTCAATCATGATGATACGGGCATTGAGGCAAAGAGTGCAATCGGTTAGTTCGGCTAAAACGGACAAACCTAATTAGAAATGAAGAGAGATTAAAATAGAGAGAAAATACTAAATGTAACTTTCGTATCCGACAGGTTGAGCGAGACACCGCCGCCGCCGAATACGTGGCAGGTCAGCCCGGTGGCGAGGCACTCGCACACCCCGAGCGGTACCTCGCCGCTGCGTCGATCTACAGGTAACAATAGCGCGTCGTCTCCTCTGCTCACCGGACCATTGGCGGTGCTAGGCTCACCCACGTCGAGGGCTTTCCAGGATAATAACAACACCCTCAGGCACTCGCCTGTTATTCCATTCGGCACCAGGGCCGTCACTCTCCCCGAGATATCCGGTAATCCTCGTCTAAGAGCAATATTCATAATCGAGTCTTATATTTAAGATCGTCTTAGGTTCGTCTTTTACGCTATCTCCGTTGTCCCAATTCAGACGACTCATGAGATCACTCACTGAGATCTATCTGTTTTATCGTCCGCAGAAGCTGGCAGCTTCCAAAGCCTTTTCCCCGACATACCCCCGACGGCAACCGACGAGCGCCCGTTGACGTTCATCGCGCCCGAGCTGCCCGAAGAAACGCTGCTCGAGCGCGAGCACAACGAGATCCTGGCGAAGCTCAACTTCGTCGTGGCGTTGTGCGAGTGCGTGTGCGAGGTCGCCAGAACCAGAGCTGGGCCGCTCGGCAATTTCGAAGAGGCCGCGCCACTCGGCAGCATCGAGCAGGCCGGCAACGCGGCCACCAGACGACGAGCCGAGCAGGTGATCCTGCTGGTCCGAGCCTTGCAGTGGCTCAGCTCGGGCCTGAACCTGGCCACGCAGCAGCTCAAAGCTGGGAGATTGCAACCGACAGCCAGTGTGAAAGAGGGTGAGTCTCGCGTGGTTTTTTTATTTATGACTTTCACTTCCCATTTGTTTATATTTATTTCAACATCGTTCTGCGTACATATGGGGGTTCCAGCGTCATTAATTTTTATATAAATCCGCCATCGGTACGTCGTGCCGGTACTCGAACTAATTCAATCTGATTAATGTGTTACAGTTGTTAGTACCATGAACGAGAAATTCAGATTGTGCCTCACAGAATGCAAGCTATTGAACAGTGCGGGGCTCCTTCGACAAACAGGTGCCACGGCGGACAAGATATTGTACAATCATGCGATTCAAATGGTACGACTGGATTTCCTTCCTTGTTTGTCTCTCTAAAACTTGACCGTATATATCTATATTGTGAACTCGACGGATAAAAAGCGATGAAAAATAGTTGATAGATAAAAAATTCAACCACGATGGCGTCGGGTATATGATACAATATTACCAATATATATAATATTTAATAAGAGAGAACTTTGTTTCACAGTGTCAGTCAGCAGCACTGGATGAGCTGTTCGGAAATCCCGCGGAATGTTTCCAACGTTATCACACAGCGCAAATATTATTACACTCGTTGTCGCAGCATGTCAGCCACAGTCAGGATCGTGCTCTGCTCATCAAATGTACGTATCGTTTGTATCACGCTTGATTCCACTTGAATTTCCTTTCTGATAGATCAATCGTATTAGAAGCTATGTTTGTTGAAACCTCTTTGTCAATCTCAAGTTGCAGAATATGCATGCGCATTCTGTGATAGAACTTTGAATTCGCCATTGTATGTGCGTTCTATTATGTTCTATTTCCTCACCGTTTCTCCCTGCGGCCCGAGGTGTGAGAATCTTCGCAGGTCTCTTTATGTTCGACGACGTTTATTAATTCTACCGTGTGATTTTCAGACAAAGACGCCGTGGAGAAGCGGCTGTACGTGCTGCAGCAGCAGGGCTACATCTACGCGACCGAGCCCACGTAGCGCTTGTGAAACGCGGCAGCCGAGCGCAGCGGCCAAGTCCCGCCCGCACCACCAGCCGAGCCCGTACCATTACCGCACTCGATATCGCTCCTTTTATGTAATATATTCTGCCCTATTCTGTACAAAAGATGTTGAAAGCCGAAACACACGGTTACAATACGTCGCGATGCACAATAGGCGTTCGCAGATGCTTGCGGCGTTCGCCGGATGTACGTTCCAAAATGGTACCTTTCCCCGAAGAAACGCATCTTTACCGCTCGCGTGTCGATTAAAGCCGACTCTTCCTAATTGCATTACGTTGTGGGCTTTCTGTGCTCACGATGAAGTGGTTCCATATTTGCAATTTGGTAAAAAAAGGGAAAACCGCATCGAGTACGGAAAGCGCAACAATATTTGCGACAAGCAAGCGGGTAGAGAGAAATGATAATCGATCGTTCGACTGGCACGTGTCATATCTCAAAATTAAGATTGAACGATCAAGTAAAATTATCGAATATCAAGCGTGTTAACGAAATATCATATATATATATATGTGAAAGTATCCACGTACGTATATCCGGAATTTTGAGTGGTAGATGAGAATTGACTTGTAGCTGACGTTTGAATAATTTATGTATCGAATAATTTTTTATCTCCAACACGCAAGATCTCATTGAATCTCCGCGAAAATCAAGGGTGAAGAATCCGATTTTTAATCTTTAAGACGATTTTCCCCTTCATTCTAGTCGTGCAGCAGGAAATCTGCAGAAATACAAGATCATTGGTTCCTCGCCAACGCGAGAAACGTTCATCCGGTGAATGTAGGAATTTCTGACGCCTAATGTTCGCTAAACGGGACAAAGCGGCTGACTATCTCACCAAGACTAATTAAAAAGAAGCTTTCCGTAGTTCCATACGGAATAGGGTAGATAGCGAAGTGAAAGTGAAAGCCCGCAGCATCCCCCTCCCTTTTTTTCCCCTCCATTCTCCCTCCTCCCCGCGGCCCGTCATCATCTCTCTCTCTATCTCTTTCTCAAGATTTCTTTATATGATTTATTAACTTAGAATGACTAAGGTATTATAACGATTGTACACTGTATAATGTACGCATGGTCGAATTAACTAACCTTTATTTCGTATCGATCAATAAACATGTGTATACTATACGGTGTTGTGCATTCAATGCAAAGGCACTTGTCTCGTCGCTCTCGGCTGCGCTGCGCTGGTGCGAACAAGTAACGTTAATTGTACAAAAGTAACGTAATTGACGATGGGCGTTCGATCGTCCGTTTCTCGCGAGTCTCCAAACGACTTCTCAACCACCATAATTTCACCCTTTCTCTCCCCTCCCCCCTCTCTCTTTCTCTTTCCCTCGAAGTCGTGAATTCGCGCGAGGTAATATTATTCACGAAAATAGAGAGGAAATGTCCAATTGAGAAATTATTCTCGTAGGGAATGTCTTCGAAGAAGTTCGACTTTCACGTCTCACGGTGATCAGACATTCTTATCCATTGTCGTGAGTGTTTTATATGTACACATATTCTTGTTGGATTCCTTGTCCTTTTTTTTGAAATAATTTTCCGACTGTGTTACGTTCGTTGGCCCATCAATTAGCATTAAGCTAGTGAGGTACGCCTCTTCCGGCGCGAACTAGGAAAAGCCCCGTCTCTCCCCGTTCTCCCTCGGTCTATCTGTCTACGAAAACGCGACCTCCTTGACCTTCTCCGCCGCGACTTCCTCGTCGGCGGGGATCTGTTTGTTGTCCCGATAGATGAAGTAATTGAGCGTCATGGCGAAGATGTTCCAGCACATGTAAGGAATATTGAGGTAGCCGGCGATGGGGTTTACATCGTGGAACGTGATCAGGAGCGCCGCCGTGTTGGTGCATAACGCCGCGTACTCGTAGAGAGCCTGCGATATATGGTGTAAAGCGTTAGTTTAAGGGCGTCTTTCACCGAACTCGGATTAAACTAATCGATGAGAACAACAACCCAGAAGACGTTTTAGATATCCTCAGCAAATCACGCACGAAGATTGCTCGCGCACGTAAGCAAAATTTCACACGACACAGAGGAAAAGATTTTTCTGGATTGAGTGGAATCTATGATTGAAACAAATTAGTTTCTTTTGAAACAGAGCAGACAAACGAATGTTCGATCCAACAAACCGAATTGTTTAGTTTGCCAAACAATAAATATCTTACAAGTTTCAAGTAACGATTATTAATACGGGGACGTACAAGACACGCGTGTGTACATGCGTGTACGCGTAAAATGTAATTACCCATTTGATGTGTCGAGTACCGAACATCAGCGGCACCCACGACCAGTTGAGGACGATATTGAGGGCGTAGGTGGTGAGCGGCAGACTTGCCCCTTCGAAACCGCCCCCGTCCCGCCACACCATGTACGACGAGTAGCCTAACGTAGAGTAGAGGACGATCCACACGGGCCCGAACAACCAGGTCGGCGGCGTCCAGGACGGCTTCTTCAGGGACTGGACAGTGTGAGCGACGAGTCAAGAGAGCGCGACGTACGGATTATATATATATATATATATATATATACATACGCGCAAAGCAGCCGTATCGTTATATCATTAGCGAAGTAAGATGTGTAATTTATTGTAAACTTGGGCATTTCTGGTAGCTGAAAGCTAGGTAGACGCGAAGTGAGTAGGCAGGTGGACAGGCGAAATAGGACGGTAGCAGGCCTTCGCGATTCGCACGGGTCCCCGCGTATCAACGAAGTAAAAGTAGCCTGAGATAACGTATCAACACCGTGTACACCGTGTATCGCTTTACAGACGAAGTGTACGTAAAGATCGGCGGACGATACGCGAATTTCTTCTCTGGAATGTTTTGGTAACTTCATTCGCACGATATCTCTTAGGCAGGTCTGTTTCGTATATTACCTTTCTGTACACTCGCGTTTGAGTATCGTATATACGTACGAGTGTAATTATGATTATAAATAACGCGTAATTATAAGCTATTAATATTACGGTGACGAATAATATGTATGTACGTATATGTACACAATGACATTTATAAATATAAATATAATGTGCAATTGTGTAAACGATCATAATTATAAATAATATTATCCAGTTATAAACGGTAACAAATAATTATATATATAGTTAAACTTTCTCTAATTGCATGAGCAGTTAGATATGATATTTCAATGTATACGTAATGTAAATTCCGTCGAATTCTTATCAAACTCATTTCACCTTACATAACTTCCTTACAGAATTGATTCATCCTGTTTAGAGAAAGAAAAAATAAATAAATACAATTTCTCTCTTTGTTTTTTAAAGTCATATCTCTAAGATATATCTTACTGGATATATCTAAGTAAGAATAAAAAGAATCTAGAACTGTTTGTGCACAGAAAAGAAACGCAGAGATCAAAATCGAGTGTGAGAATGCTGACGTTATACCTGAAGCTAAAAATAGACACTGCATTTGCTATAACATGTTATTCCAGTTACGTCAACAGTATTCATCAGCGGCGTCTCGCGATATCGTGAAATATCGTTGATACATATAACGAGAAATTTTCCGAGATTGAACTCGCGAGCGCGAGATACTCATGCCACAGATCGTTACGAAAACAAATCCAGCCACCCTGTTGACATGGAATACACACCGAAGTGTTACGAATTTACAACACACAGCCGAAGTTAAAGGGAGAAGTGGTAGATTATAATATTTACATTGTGTGCTATATCAAGCTTCGCGATTATCGATTCGCCCGTGATCGCGCGTGACCTTCGCGCGAAGTGTCTGCGAATCGTTCGTAACCCGGAATGCCGATGAGAGAATTCCGCATTTGCGAGATTTCCGATAACGATTCTAATTACCCAATGACGCAAAACAGACGCTGAACGATCTAATGCGTGTGCAGTTGCGGTAGCAATGCGACAACGTGTCCCGGCGCCGAGACGTCGCGGTGCATTCGATCCGCTTACCTCGTACCAGCGGATGTTTCCCTTTATGAAATAGCCGACGATGAAACAGCCGATGTTGGGGGCGACCGTCGCCGCCACCGCGGGCCAAACGATCTTCACCGGCATCTCGTCCTGCTGTATAAAATATCACGTTGTGCCGTTGATTCTTCTTGTATGTGTGTTGCCTCGATTCGTTGAAAAATTAAAATCACGAAGCGCGGAACATTGGTTTTGCGCGACTGATAGAAGTGGCGAACACTCCGGGATAAACTAGGTGCGATCGCCGTGCTTGGTCACGGGTGAGCGTTAATTTCTCCGTGTTATCGACGAATAACGTTACCGGAAAAGAATGAAAAAAAAAGTGTGCATACCTGCGCAAACTGAGAGATGACGGGATGTGAGGGGTAATTCGTCTACGCTGCACGTCCCCGCGGAAAGTCGATGAACGTACTGGCTATTCGTCCGCTAGGCAAACGGTTTATGACACTAGATCATAGGCTTGACTTGACTGACGCGGACTTGCGTAACAGTAACGTAACTATTGTTATAGGTGCCTCCCTGTGTTCCATCGACGTTTCTCCCTTTCAACGTTTTTCTTCTGCGCTACTACACACTTTTCGGCGGGATTTGGCAGCCTTGCATGAAGAGTCAATTCTCGGCATATTGGACGATAAGTAATCGTCTTGATTAAAATTAACTTTGATATGATCGACGCGCAACTAGAAGAAAAAGTCGTTGTCGCGATGATATATAATTCAGTATCGCGCACAGTTAGGTATGCAAAACTACACGCTAAATCGGTCCAATAATTCCTGAGATATTTTGGGTATCGATTAGCGAGAACGAGCTTCACGAGAAGCAGGAATAACAGCGTTACATATCATTTTGTAACGGGCTTCATATAAAATGTAAATAAAAATATAAAGAATCATCATTCAAAAGGACATCTTCATAAAATCACTAAATGTCAATAATGTTGTTAACAGAAAAATTCAAACATTGAGCGTTTTTTTCGAGCCACTCAGATATATGTAACCCCTTAAATTAGAAAGAGGAGCAAAACGGGTGGGAATCGAATCACTCGCGAGACGACGCGGAAGGTTCGAACAAATCGCGCGACACGCAGTACACACATGTATGTATGTATATAAGTTTTACTATCACCATTGTGTTACAAATTGAGCGTACAGTAAAATGTACACTCGGCCGCCGCCAGGTGTACATCGACGACACGCGCGTTTTCGCGCCTACATTTGATGCGGATGGAAGTCGGGGAAAAAGAAGCGAAAAAAAGAAAAGAGAAAGAGAAACGCAAAGAGAAGGAAAATTAGCAAGTCGGCTAACACGTAGCGACTAACTACCGACGAACTTCCTTTCTTTGTGTACTAGTACAGCATTAGGCGGCTCGATTCACGCTTTTATTTACACATGCGTCTCAATAAATACACCGACAGCGCAGTAATAATCATATGGTACATAAGCACCGCATCATCCGAGGTCTCTTTGCGCAACAAGAAATTACATCCACATTTCATTCCACATTTCATTATCATCGGACGAATATCAATGAGAATCGCGCAAGAAATCGCGCGAGAAATCAACGCAAGATATCGACTGTACACAGGCTTTATTTACGAGCCAATAGAAACATTTAGAATATTTGTCTTCGACCGGTAAGTGCGAAGAGATGCGGAGAACATTACAATACATGCGGCTCCACAAAGGAAGATGAACGTATTTTCTCTTCCATCGAGTCATTTCTATCCGAGTCAACGAGGCTGTTCAAATTTCCTTTCGAAGGTAAACGCGCACATATTTCTTCCTACGCACTGTTTCGCCGTGTCTTCAAAAATCAAGGAAAAAATATTCCAATGTTTCGTTCCCGTCAATTTTCGCCCAGCATTCGATATATATATATATCTGTAGAGCGGCTACACTTTACAAACATGTGCGTGGGTGTACATGTATGCGAATGTGTATGCGCGCGCGCAGCTGATCTAGAAAAAGAAAAGAATTAAAGAATATCTCCTGTATTTTTAATCCTTTCTTTTATATCCGGATTGTCTTTTCCGCGCGCGTATGTTCCGTGTATATGCATATACGTTTGCTCGAGAATAAATTAACCGGCTTTCGATCTCGAACCGCTTGACGTCGATACGCACGTATCGTCGCTATCGATAGCACAATAGCTAAATGTTAATGCGCTTGAAAATAAATGCGTGTGTTCGGAGTCCCAATGAAAATTGTATGCGGAACGTCTCGGAATAAACGGAATACAACTGTTTCGAAGTCGATCGTTCTCTCAGGGGAACACATTGAGGCGCTACATAACATTATTCAACAGTCATTTGTCACGTAGATTAGTCGAAATGTTTTCTCTTTTTTTTTTCTTATGTATTTTGAAACACTCGACACAAATGTGCACTCGGAATTTCTCTATCATCCCCTAGTTTTTCTATGTGAAAAAATATACTATTAACATATTAAGATAACTTGTAAATATAGATAGATATATTATTACAACATAAGCTTGCATTGCTAGGAAGGAAGATAATTTGTAAATATATATTTATTAATATATTATAATATATGTTTATATATTTACAAATTATATATTCTCTTCAACTGAAATGTCTTAGCAATTTCAAAACTTTGGGCAGATAGAAAAATTTTGATTGCATACTTAAATCCGGCGTAGAAGAGAATTTGTTAGCAAATTAAAACTTGCTAAGCAAATGTGAAAACAAGCGGTGTGACAAAAAAGTTGCGCGTTATCCTCGAATAATTTAAAATGAGAAATTTTTATTAGAACGCAAGGTAAAAAAAAAATAAAGAAATGACGCATTTTTATAGTTTGCTACCAATAGATTTCGACTTAAAGTGGAATCTCAATTCTTGAGATTTTCTGAAGTTAAAAATAGGAAGACAGCAGGGAAAGAACCTTGTCCCCGAAAGAATCGACACAAAACTTTTGCGAAATGTATCGTCGAGATTGAGTCCGTTTATTTCAGGACAGCCTATAGAAAGAGCGATCCCGGAAGAACAATCGATGACGAACTTTGTCCAAGAACATAATCGAAAACAAATCACGTTGCATTCGAAGTCACATGAAAGTGTCATGCCTTCGATTATCATGCCTGTTTTTTCGTTTTTTTTTCTTCTCCATGCGCACAGTTCAAGCGCAACGAGAGCGCAACAGATAGAGAGAAAAAGAGAAGTATCGTTTGTTACGTTAGAAGAAACTGGCACCAGCACCCATATACAGCATAATAGTCTCGTCTTATTTCTTATTACTCGTTGTAATCCAGTTTCGGTGGTCTGGTTGTGTCTCTCACCAACTGATCAGCCGGAAGTACCGTGTCTTTTTCCTTCTCTCACTCGTCCTTATCATTCTTGCTTTCCTTATCGTGCGTGTTTTCTCCCCCGGACGCGAACAGATGGTGCTTGACACGTTCCCGACGCTTTTGAGGGATCACCATAATAGTAGTTGTGATGTTGCCCAGAAACAGCACTAAGAACATTGCGCTAAGCACTGGCACATGCCACGTTGCTTCTGGATGGAACGCCAACTTATACAACGTGTATGCGTTATGTAGTTGAAACAGATAGCCGAGGAAAAGGAATGGAAGCAAGAACGAAAGACCACGCCACATCCACGAATGGAAACCTTCGATGGTGATATCCATGTTATCCCTCTCGCCCAGTGCTTTTAATCGGTAGAGCACGCCACGTTGGTATCGGAATTGTAAGTATTGAACTACGCCTGAATGATTACGCATATATTAGATAAAATGATAAATTATAAGTGAGTGGTTAATTACATGCGCGCACACATAAATTTAGTTATATCCGAGTTATTTTATCTTCTCCCCTCGATTTGATAATTTGTGTCGTGCATAAAAGGAATTTATACTAAAAATAGTTCTGATGTTACTAATTATAATATTAATAATTTTGTATTAATATCATATAATATATATTACAGGAAGGAAACGTGTGCATTCTGACACTGCCGGAAATTATTTTACGACACTTACTGATGTATACATTGAACCACATGAACTGGCCGCGGAATTTGTACCACGCTCCTGTGTTTGGCCATACTAGTAGAACACCGGACACAACGGTCGAGAGGAAGTGATGAAATCTCCACCAGCCTTTTATTCTTGAACCATTTACCTTAAGTATACTTTCCCTTATCGTTAATGTGCAGTAGTACCAAACCAGGAGGAACATAAAACTAAGTTCTAGAGTCCTGAAAAATGTAAGCGAAAAATATTACAACTTCCTGAACAGGATGTAAGTCGATGTTAAAAAATATATCGATGGCATCTCACCTTATATTGGTAAACAAATTTAATACAGACAACACGAAACCAATTACTGATAGAACTAACTTAAACTTCTCATATTCATCTTTGTATTTGAATCTGAAAGCCAAGCACTCATCATGAAATCAATCCAGGTACAATAATGTGTATCAGCTATGATTATTAACATACTTATCACTTTTATTCAATATGGAGACATTGACATTGCCCAGAATAATTTTAAGGTATGTGCCATTTGGCTTTGGCAAAGTTTGTTCTATCTCGTAAAGCTGTTGTTCTCTTCTCATCATAGATTTTTGTAACTTCTCTCGCGTTTCTCTTGCACTCAAGCTGAGAATAGGTGAGAAAAATAAGACATGTAATTGAAGAAAACGAAGTACACATATTTTTTTATCAAAAGATTTACGTTAATATTGTGAACTTACTTTTTCATGGATTTGGATATTACACCAATCCGATATTTTTGATGAGAAATACCTTTTACACATTTTGCTTGCAGTTCACCAACCTCTTCTAATTTTGCGAGATACACCCTATTTAGTGCCTATAAATGTGGAAAAAAATACTGGTTAGTAATTATTAGGATACAGCAATTATACTTTGTCTAATTATTAATTAATGACTGGATTACAAATATAACTTGTAAATGTTAATTTAATCTCTCTCTCTCTCTCTCTCTTTATCAGTGTGACTCTTATATTTTTTCTAATTATATTATTTCTACTTGACAGAATCGATCGAAATAATCGCGAGAAGATAATCGACAGTCCTGGCAGGTTATTAAAATTGTGCAGCATCACTGTTATCGTCGCCGTTCGGCATTAGTTGCGGCTAAAAAATTTGAACCAGTCGAGCACCTTTCCTCGCGCGTGATCGATTTATCGTAAAACGGGACGATCACCAAGGTCGTCGCCAACGTCACGTGACGAGCGGATCAGCCGATCGGCCGAAATAGTTCGGTCTCTCCGGTCAAGCACATTCGCGAACACGTCAGGAACTTAACCTCGCCGCGAAACCCGTCTAGTTCGAGCCCGTCGAGCTCCGATGTGACATGACTTTCTCTCTCTCTCTCTCTCTCTCACCTCGAGTTCCTTATAGTCTCGTGCTAGATCGTCCCAGTCCTTGACGCAGGACTCGGCATCGATGTCCATCGCGACGGTGTCACGCGTCCGATGGGGTTCAGTCGGAGAACACGTCTGGTTCGACGGATCGTCTCTCGATCTCTTTCTCTCTCTCTCCCCCTTTTCTCTCCCTCTCGATCTAGACTACACTGGAGTGCACTTTTCGCACACTCGTACCGAAACGTAATGAAGCCAGAAGCGACAGAAGCAGGAAGGCGCGAAAGAGTGCAGAAGAGTGTAGATAGAAGCGCGGAGGCGGCTTGCGGCAAAATGCAGTGCAATATAACTGCGGCACAGCACGCGTCGAATCCACGGGTCTTCGGGTGGTAACGAGCTGTAAGAATGCTGCAAGAACGCTGCGAAGGAGAGAGAGAAAGAGACAGACGGGTACAAAGAGCAAAGGGCATTCAATGCGTCCGATAACAATCGATGATGCTCAATGATGATGCCGATAAGAGACAGATGGAACGAAATACGCTGCCTGTAGCCGCGCGTACGTTGAGTATCGAATTTTAACGTACCACCCAGCCTTGCTCTTGGAAATTTCGAGATCGATGCCGAATTCAAGCGTGAAAGAAACGGGAGCAGGCCGAAACAGAGTACAGAAAGTGCAAATGAATACGAACAATACGAACGTGTTGCCGAGCCCGTTTCTTTCATCCGCATTGCCTTCGCCGCTATATTTATCCTTAGACGTTATTTCTTTTCACGCGCATCTTTCAGTTTTTGCACACAGCAAGTTTTAACACATCGTCAAGATGAACCGTTCAATGTCATTTCGCTCTTCGTTCGACGATATCGACGCTCGATCGATCTTCGAACGGTCGTTGCGTCAGGCACGTCGATACATCGACAATTCAATTGCGAATGGAAAAACTGCGAAGACACAAGGACAAATAAAAAATATAAATTCGAACGTATAAAATTCTTTTTATATTCGTTCTTCTCTCTCACATTTTGCCCCTTCTCCCTTTTTTTCCCACTCGGTGTTTGATCATGCATACGCTCTACGTCGTAACGCTTTAATATGCGTATCGTGGAGGGTTTCTTTTTTAAGATCCAAAGACGTATATCTCTGCTGACGTAATTTCTATTTGTCAGTATGGTTTTTAGCTCCTGGGGATTTCCATATTCACATTCTTTTCCTCATTATTTCCTCGGCAATACGGTCGGTTTCTCACGTAGAACGTGAAATGAGAACAATGAGAGATGCGAAAACAACACCATGCTGAATTTCGCAGAAAAGGAAGGCGCGGGTTTGAGCGTCGAGATTCGTTTAGAATAAATTCCACGCGTCTCGATGTATAATCGGCGCGTTTTCCCTTTGCTTCGGACGGCTATCGTTTTGGCTATTTTGATATTCAGATTGTTTCACTGCATTATTTATAGCAGGCAATCGCGCTTACATATCGGACACATCACTTTGAGATTTCTCGAAGAGGACCGTTCTCCGTCTCTTTCGTTATCCGGAATCTTCCCTCCTGCCGTCCACAGTCCTGCATTTTAAACGCTGGAAAGTCCGACGAACTACGCGCTCGAAAAGAATTTTGAAAAGTACGGAGCATATCGGAAAGAACAAACGGAGTATATCGGAAAAGACGATGTTTCTCAATTAAGCGGACTTCATGCATTGTGCGATATCTCGTTAGTTCGAAATCCTTACGAGGTATTGCTCGTGCGAGTGATGAAAACAGAGCAACAATAATTTCTTACCGGCCAAGTTATCGCAGCCAGTAGTATTTTTTGTGAGGGAAGGGAAACCCGATTGCTCGGATACAGCGTATATGTTCCACCTATCTGCATAAATGTTCTACCTACGTCAGATACGTCGCAGGAAATTATTGCAGAACGTGTTATTCGAAACATTAAAGCACCCTTCGAATATTGATAAGTCATCGATTGGAATATATATTCGCAGGAATCTACAATCCTTCGAATAAGAGGGCTAAATGCTAGTTGCAGCTTTATCGTGGATCCGGACTGAAGGGTTCGATCGTGCAGCTTTGACCGAGGCCGCGAAGGGGATAAAACTGCGGGGAACGACCGTTCTAGATAACGGCATGCCCGGGGAACGGTATTCGATCTCCTGCTGGCCTGCGAACTCACGAATCCTCTTGCGGCTGGTTCCGAAAAGGTCATCGCGATCATCGGCTGCCGCCGCGTTGCGCTGCGCTACGTTGCGCTCCGCCCCGCTTCGTTTCCTTCCGGTCGCGCTTTCCTGTTTCGCGCGGCCCGGCACCAGGAAGCCGGGAAGCCGCGCGAAGCAGTGAAGTTCGGGATGCTCGCCGGATGAGTTCGGCTCGCGGAGTTCGTGTGCATCGGGTCCGGGGAGTGCCGGGAAAATTCGTGCGCGGATGTCACAGTTTGCGGACGCTCCGGTGCAGGAAGAGCTCGTAGTTTCCTCAACAGTGCATGTTCGCGTAAAAAAATATTAATTCGTACAATAATTTCGGGAAGAAAGTATTTTCAGAATAGGCCTTATTTTAATGAGTAGGAACAAAATGGGGATCGCAAGAGAGGGAAGGAACAATCGGATGTAACAGACGTTGATTTTTTCTCGATGAACACTAATGTCGATTAAATTGACATTTCCAGAAGTACGGTCGGCGTCGTGTATGCCGTTCCTTAGACAGAGATTTACATGATTTCCAGCGTTACTCACAAGTCTGAAGATCGCAAAAGTAACTCTAGTTACGATGGCTCTTTTTAAGGCCCCTTTTTAAAGCCTAAGAAGCTTTTTTAAAGCCTTATAATAGCTTTAACCTTAACCTTAACCTTATGTACATATGAGAGATTGAAAATTGTGTAACGGTAAAAAGTTTTAATCTAAGGAATGATACAGCATACGCGAAAATTTCACGGACCAAAAAATTCGTGCGAATTAAAGTGCACGCGCGCACGTTTGAGAGACACTGGACTAAAGGACAGCCGTCTTATCGTTAACGTTCGCACTTTCGAGATTGCGATTTCGGTCCGGTCAATCGACATAGTCGCTCACGCGTTAGAAAGTGCATCGGTTTTTGCGATTGCAGTCAGATCAGCACATTCGCCTCGCAGCATGTATCGTTCCATTGACCGTGAACGGGTTTCGTGTTCACCGGCGAGAAACGCTACGCGTTTCGTCTCGTCGTCAGCGAAAGATAAAGCTCTTTACAACTTGTCGCGCTTAAAGTGCACGTTACCGTATTGTTCTGTTTTTTAATTGCACCTTCTATCTGTCGCGCGAAAGAATGCATGTGTTGAGTTAACTATAGCGGGACGACGTACGTTCGATGTACAAGCGGAAAAAACAGTTCGATGGGGCGGCCAAGTGCGACGGAGAGCGCGCGAGATAAAGCGGCGTAGACGCTTTTAAGTGGAAAAAAGAAGGAGAGCTTTCTTTCGCACGCGCAGGGAGAAAAAAAACAAAGAAAAACGAAACGTGCGAAAATTTCGTCGCGGGAGGCGAATTCCTTCCCGTAGGGATTACGTATTCCCGTAGGACGCGAGGACGCGTCACGATAGATTAGATATCGGTAGATATCCTATCCCACATAGATACACGATGTATCACACGTGCGTTGTCAATTAACAACGAGATAAAAGAGTCGGCCCGTGATAAACGAAAGAAACGGCAGTCCTCGTCGCGATCCGGATGGACAGATAAGCGTTATTTATCGGGCGCTTCGGAGGGAACAGGGAAAAAGTCTACCGTGAGGAGCGCGACGCAATGTAAATGCGTTAAGACGATAAATGCGAGACGAAAGTATATATCGAAGCGCAAAAGTCGAGTTGACGAGTGAACGAACGACATGGCATTGGCGGCACGCGCGGACGAAGCCGGAGCGAAGTGTAACCGACTGTCTCGATTTCCAAATAAAGCATTCGATAATAGTGCACGACGTTATTTGTGTTTACACTCGGAATATAATATATTAATAATAGACGACGGCCACAGTGCCGTTTTGAACACCGAGGAGAACGATAAGGTAAACGTTGAGGTAACTAGAGAAATGTGGTTTGTACAATCGACACATTATTATTATTATTAGATAATTACTAATTATATGTAGAGTAGACCATTTATAGAATATTCTTGTGCTATCTGTTCTACCTGGATCTTGAATGGCCACCGGTGTTACCACCCTGACAGTGAAGCTCGTCGCAGCCGTCGCTGCCATCAAGATGCACGTGGTGTGCAAGGTCGCGCAGAGGAGCCTACTGCGGAGCCCGGGCGACTTCGATATCTCGCTCTGGGGGACGTCGGCATATTCGGCGTTCATCGTGTCGAGCGATAAGGACAACGTCGACCGTCCGACGGCAAGGAGACACGCTACGAGAGGAGGAAGTGATATTTTATCGTTGCGAACGTACACGAGCGAGCCGGGTCACGAGGCGAGGAGGGGACCGCCGGAGCCGCGCGGACTTCCGCTCATCGGCACGATGTTGTCGCTGTTGATCGCCGGCGGCGGGAAGAAGCTGCACGAGTACGTGGACAAGCGACACCGACAGCTAGGCCCGGTCTACCGCGAGCAGGTCGGACCGGTGCGCGCTGTCTTCGTCAACTCGCCCGACGAGTTCCGGCGGATCTTCCGGCTGGAGGGCACCATGCCGCGCCACTTCCTGCCGGAGTCTTGGCTGCTGTACAACGAGATGCGGCAGCAACGCCGAGGACTGCTCTTCATGTGCGTTGTTTCTCCACAGTGGCTTTACATAGGACACACGTTCCCTTTAAAATATATATTTCTTATGTAATCTCTTAGATAATCTCTTTATGCAAAACACCGTATCTCTATGTAAATTTGTCACAGGGACGGGGAGGAATGGTTGCATTACCGAAGGATCCTTAACAAGCTGATGCTGATGCCGAATTCGACGGATCTGATGTGCGGGCCCTGTCAGGAGGTCGCCGAGAGCCTCACGGAGAACTGGAGGGCCGAGAGCCGTGACGGTGCAACGATCAGGGACCTGAAATATCAGCTTTATCAGTGGTCTATGGAAGGTGCATTCTTTCGTCTCAGGGTGACCCCCGTCAAACTCAAATTGAACCGATCGATGAGATAATAAGAATGATTTCAACTGATTTCCGAGTTAACGCCACGTTCTTTTAAATCGTCGATTTAATCGGAGTTCGATGAAAGTCACTCTTACACTTCAACGTGTTAAATATTCCGGCAGTGTGAGATCTGGATTTGTTTCCTCTTTTAGTAATGTTGGCGATCCTCATGGGCTCGCGATGGTCAGATTGTAAGCAGCAAATGGCTCCTAGATACGAGTACTTGGCGCTGATGGTGCACAAGATTTTCGAGCAATCCGTCGTGTTATCGATGATGTCGGCCAAGTTGGCGATGCGGCTGAAACTGTCGAGCTGGACGAAGTTTGTTGCGACCGCTGACACGATCCTGGACACGGTGCACATCATGGTACCGGAACTGATCCAGTTAGGCGGCGACGGTTTGCTATCGTTGATGGTGAACAATGGTATCCAAGGTGAAGATGCCATTAGAATCATCACTGACTTCATCATTGCCGCTGGCGACACGGTGCGCTCCTAAGTTGGCTAATATTATTATTTTAAAACTTACTATTATTTTAAAATTGTTTTTAAAATTTATCATTTTAAAATCGATTCGAAGCTGAGAAAAAAATTTCCTCGGAACTTTTCGGAGAGAATTTTTCATTATTACAATTAATTACGATTAAAAGGACACATTCTCTCTATATGGAAATTAATACTTGATATGTTGTGTAATTTAGTCCGCGACTACGATGCAATGGGCATTGCTGTTACTTAGCGGTTGTCCCGAACTGCAAGACCAGTTGTTCGACGATATCAAGTACCTGTCACCGGAGGAGACCACGCAGCATCCTCTGCTAAAGGGCGTGTTGAAAGAGACGCTGAGGCTGTATCCCGTGGCACCGTTCCTCACAAGATATATGGCGGCCAACAATTTCATCGGCGATTACTTCGTGAGAAAGGAGGTAATCCGGAGAACGAACTCGCCACGGTGCAACCGCAAGTATAAGCTATAAGATAAGCGAAGTAGCGTTGTGAGTAACGGTTTCTCCTTATTCAACGAATCAAAAAGAAATGCACGTCTTAGATCCATACTAACGGTCGTAACTTGAAACTTGATTCAGCTGAAGTGCTCAGATTCTAATTACACTTATGTATAGTGTCGTATATATATATGACTCAAATAAAAAACTCCCGAAGAAACTCTAAATTCAGATCTGAATATTTCACGTGGGACAAGTTTCGAGTTGCCCAGAAGACACCAACAGTAACAGTACTTCAATGTTCTAATTTTTCACTCAACAATGTAAATGTAAACTTCAGTCATGAAACATACTAGCTACGACTACAAGCTTAATCGCAGCTTTCACGGTCGCGTGAAAACCTTACCTACGATATATCGAGATTCAGCACGTTGATGACTTTATTTTTCTCTCGATTCAGGACTTGGTGATCCTATCGGTCTGGTCGAGCGGCCACAGCGCAAAGTACTTCCCGCAGCCAGAAGAGTTCCAGCCAGAGAGATGGATTAGAATGGAGTCGGGTAATTATCAGGCTGTAAATCATCCATACGGCACATTGCCGTTTGCGTTGGGCGCAAGAAGCTGCATCGGCCGCAAACTCGCGGAAACGCAAATATATCTCACGCTGGCGCAGGTAAGTCATCGTTTGTCGTATCGGGGCTATGTAAAATCGTAAATATACATATACATATATATATTTTTTTTTATTTGATATATCATTCTATTGCAGCTAATTAAAAACTTCAGAATCGACTGCGAGAATCGTGAGCGCATAAAAATGATTTTAAACATGATCACTGTACCGTCAGAACCCATTAAGCTAAAAATGACAGAAAGGACAGTGTGAATAACTGATTTTCAGTAATCAGCAGCCGAAAAAGTTCGACGGACGAAACACGTAAAGTGGATCCAATTACCCTTGACAATGCGATGCGAATCAAATTAAGATTAACGTCCTTATTTTACTCATTATTTGTTGTTAGGTGTACATGCATGTGTAAAAAATATTATATACACATTACACGAATTTTTGTATGTATATAATATTTTGTAGGATTTGTAGGTTTTATATTATTTAACAAACATACGTGTATAGTAAACGCGGAAACGAATGTATACTTCTCTCATCGCTCGTCGTTATGTGATTCTCGTCAAGAGAAGCCGTAATTTTTGTGGATTTTTTAACATTTTAATCTTTGACATTATCGCCTTTTGGCATAGTTTGAGGAGATCGTTTTAAATCTCACTCTTTTACACGTCATGAAGATTATAATCGTGGACACTATCAGATTGATATTATATCGATGCAATTGCTGCAATTTAAGAAATTATTCATTATTCTGACGATTCTTGGATTGACGGATATTGAAATCAAGTTTACAAGTTTTCCAGACGTTTTTAACTATTTATTTAACATTAGGATATCAAGCGGCCTGCGATTGAAAAAACCGTTTACACGTGTCAATCATTTAGTTGCCACGATTTTCTCTACATTTTCGATGACACTAGAATGAAAAATATGACACGGCACTTGACACTTTGCGACGCGCACATATTTATTACTGCTTGTATCTTATAATTTCGAATTGATATTTTTTTTATTTTGTCGAGACGTAAAGTAAAACTCATGTCGATACGAGGTGATATTGATGTGTGTGAATTGATTTTGTAAATGACGACGAGCCCAAGATATGTTCAATAGTATAACGAATAAATGCAATTTTCAAATATATATACGTTAAATCTTCATTTAAACGTAAAGGATCAATGTCGAGAATAAGTGTTAATCAAATAAGAGAGCAATTTTGATGTAACGTGTCAATATCAGAATTAGTTATTTGACAAGGCCTTCTATAGCACTTGATAGTTGCTCCCTTATTGTATTAATATAACTGTATAACATTTAAAAATTTTATAAAATACGTCACATTGTGTGTGTGTGTGTGTGTGTGTGTGTGTGTGTGTGTGAAAAGTACAGTGGAATCTCATTGTACAGTGGCTGCGGGTTAAGATTTAAAAATTTCAGGATTTTTATTTCATTCAGTGTATATACAAATGCTTCGAGCACATGTGCGGCCGTCGTGAATACATCTCTCGCTGATGTACTTTAGCACAATTCACGGAATATATACAGCATTAATATAGATACAATATCGTTGTGAATACGTATGATCGTCCCGCAATTTACAGGGTTCCGCGAGTAACCGGAAGTCCGCTACGGATAAAAACAAACCAACTACAAGCCGTGATAATTGGATTCACTCGTTTTTATTTTTTCTTCCCCTTTTCTCATTCTAGAGAGACCGTTTCCGAGCATTCGGATCCATTTAGAACGAGGTAGAGCCGAAAGCTCTTTAATTTAACGTTGCACTCTAAGATGTACTTGCATACATCTTTTTTTCCCCTTTTCCCCTTTCCTACGTTCGTATTTTGCGAGATACAGCCGATGTCTCATCTACATATAAATAAATATATATTAGTAAAAAGCTTTAAATATAGACGTTGAACGATCCAATGTACAATTCTTCGGAGTTTCTGCTAGAGAAAAATAAGCGTTATCAAATTAAGGCTCCCGTATATTCGCCATTGGTCTTGTTTTACGACGACATCAGAAGCGAGAAAATCCATGGACATTTCTTGCGTACATATTCAAATATAAAGATACGCCCACCAAATGACGCTTATGATCAATTTAGCACTTACAAAATACACCGAACACTTTACCTTCGCCCGAACAATCCATAAATAGCAATCAATAAATCAACGAAACACAACAATCAACAAATGTCAATAAATATGTAAAATGTGACAAGATCGTGAGAAATAATAAGAGGGGAAAGTTACGTTAATTTCACATTCACATTAAAGTCACGTTAATTTTACAGTCATTTATTATTAATTTCTAGAGCAAGAGGAAAGTGTTCGAAGTATTTTCCAAGTGTCCCGAATCGATGTCATAAATGTCATTTTGTGCGAGTATATTTGAACGTACACCGGAAGAATTCTCGGCAAGCGTTTCCTCGCTCCTGACGCCGCCGACAAACGGACGACGACGCGGCGAGGGAGCAGCCCGTCTCCCTTCTTCTGTAACTTGTAACTGGAAATTTCGTAATCGTAAACGCGCGTCGTTGCGATGCTTGTGCGTTAGCCTGTAACGCACACGTTAAAAGTTACAGAACAAGAGAAACAGGAGCCTCAGGGGATAGAAAACTCGCTCGTGAGACGACGATCTTCGCGACCATCGAGGATCCTAATTTCTACGGGGATTCTGCGTTCGAGAGACACGACGGACACGAGCGACAAGGGTCGCAGCAACGATCACACGCAACCACCGTGTGTCTGCCGAGAGAACACCCGACTGTCGGACGATAACGTTACGCGTATACGCGACAAGGGAATCTATGTTCTACGAATTACCGGTCGAGAGCACGATTGCACACACGCACCGCGGATACACCCGTGCGTCTAAGGTTGGCACAACAAGTCCATGATGATCTCCCGGATCTCGGCGAGGAACTCGTCGAAGGCGGCGGTCGCGGAGAAGTCGCGGAACGCCTGCACGGTCTGACCGTTCGTCATGCTCGCGGTGAGGAAGGTCTTGACGCAGCAGGAGCGCAGCTCGTGGCATGCGTTGGTCTTGGCCCACCACCAGGCGCGGCTGAAGTTCTCGTGGCTGAGCTTGGCGACCGAGCTGTCGGTGAGCGCGTCCGACAGATCCGGCATGAGGAACTTGTCGGCCAACAGCACCGCGTCCAACAGCGACTCGATGCTGCGGTGGGTGTACGGGATCCCGCTCGCCGCCAGGATCAGCGTGTTCAGCCCGTCCCGCGAGGCGTTCCTCAGCCTGACGCGCCGCTTGCCGGACTCGCTGAAGTTGCCCTCCAACATCGCGCGGAAGGCGTCCGAGCGTTGGCAGAGGACGCGCCGGCAGGCGTCCACGGTCGTGCCGTCGTCCAGCTCGAACGTCACCGTCGGCGACGGCTGCGGGTGGCTGCTCTCGCGGGGGTACTCGCGGAGGAATAGAACGCTGCTCGCGACGGTTGCCGGGCCGGACTTGTCCACCGCCTCCGGACGGATCTGCAGCGCGGCCGCCAGCCGGCAGATCGACCAGATCGCACGCTCGTGCAGCTCGTGCGATGGTTCGCTCAGCAGGCGCAGTATCATCTGCAGCCCGCCGTGGTTGTGCAGCAGCGACTTGAGGGTGATGCGCGAGTGCACGATCAGGAACGGTATCGAGACCGCGAAGAGCAACTTGTGCCGCTCCTCGCCGCGCAGCAACACCGACGATAACTGGCCGAACGCGCCGCCGGTCTCCGCGACCTTGCGCAGGTGGAAAATGTACTCCCCCCACTCCGGCACGCCCTGCACGTCGAACACGAAACCCTGCTTCAGCAGCGGCATGAAGTACGCCGCGTTCCTGCGAAAGAGCGAGAGACGCCGCCGTTAACGACACGTACGTAAGTGAAATATAAGACGGGGGTAACAGGAGCTCTGTTTTACCTCACGATCCTGATTAATATAGTGATGGCCTTCTCGTTTTTCGTGCGACTGATGTAAATCAAGAGAGACTTGATGGTCATGGGATCGGCCAGTCGGTAGATGGGCTGCGGAAGCAGGCTCACTCGGTACAGTAACAGCAACGCCGTCGAGGCGCAGAGGACCCCTTTGATGGCTTTCTCAGAATCGCGAAGATTGTCCGCGTCGATGGTCAGCGACTTGCAGCTCTTCAGAGAGTCCGCTTCTTCGTCCGGCTCTGCAACGGCCACGCAGATTGAACGATGCGAATCGCAAACGTATTGAAATGTTTTTGTTATAACAATTTAATTTATTAATTTATAACTAATAATCATTTAGAAAAATCATGCAAATATCTGATCGATTCGGAAGTATCTCCTCACAGAACGCGAATCAATGAAATATAAATTTTTAATTGGCGTTCACTTTGAATTTTCCTGCTATATTCTTCCCCCTCAAATATCGCCCCGCGTTTCTTACAAATCTAAGAACTCGTAATGCTTGTAAGATACTTTACCTTCGTCGTCGCCCCATTCCGTGTCGCTGTAAACAGGACTGTAATTATCGTCCCCGTTATCGGTCTCCATCTTGAAATCGTAATATAATAACGGTGGCGTGCTAGGTGGCGACGAGGAGACACTAGTCGAACTTCCCGGACTTGAATCACCGTCAAAACGGTGCATAGTGTAGTATCTGCTATACCTGTAAGGTGATACAATGTGACATTGTGTAATGCAATGTAATGCAAATGTGACACAATTCAACCCGATCGATCAGATGATCGAATTTTGTCTATGCCGAAATAATTGTACGAACTCGCGAAGCTAAAGAACTAATTCTAACTTCTTTTTTTAATTCTATATACCGCTATATAAAAATTCACCTCCCCTCGCTGATCCGGCTGTACTTCCGGCAAGGCGTGGAACCGTAGCAGCGTTTATTCGACCCGTTGCTACTGCTAATAGGACTCAACTCGCTCGTCTCCATGACCGTGGTATCGGCGACCGAGTCCGTCAATTTCGCCATCAAGACCTCCAGCAGGCCGTGCTTCGTCAACGTGACGATGCTGTTGTCGCAGTACGCGAATTGCGTGAGCGCGTCCAGAAGTATAGGGTGATACTTGGCGAACTTGGGCTGCTTCAGCAGCATCACAAACACCTCCAGCCCGCCGGCGGTCTTCATTTTCATGCGGTGCACAGACTCCTGGCAGAACAGGCATAAGGTGACCACTACCTTCCTAAATAGCTCGCCGTCGCCGGCGCTGCCGTTTCTGGTGATAGTTATGAGCAGCTCCGCAACTCCGAGGGTACCCAACACTAACCGACAGCCCGTCGACTGGCAGAGATTGCAAAGGCACTTGATGGCCAGATTGTTGCCTCTTATGCAGCACAGTATGAGAGCCTTGTAGCCCTGCTTGTCCTTGTCCGCCTCCATCTGCGCACTGCAGCGTACGAAGTCGGCGATCTTGTCCTGCGTGACGAGAAACGTGCACATGGCTTTGAGACACACGTCCATTAGTTCCGTGTACTTCTTATCCTCGGCCATGACGAATAACTGAGCAATCAGTCTGACTGCTTGCAACTGTAAGATCTTCTCCCTGCTACCCTCGTAAAAACTCCAAATGTTCCTGCAATTTCAGAAACGACGAATGTTAGGCACGGCGTCGGAATGAATGATCGGTGAATGAATAATCGGCGAAAATCACTTTCGTTCGCACCTAATCGCTCTGATGGCCGTTAAATAAGTTTGCCTGTTCGTTTGTAATTTCAAAAATGTCGTCAGCGGTTCTATCACCCCACCATTGTACAATGCCTCCGCGTGCCACTTGCATTCCGACAAGTTACCGACGAGTCTACAAGCGCGGCAGTGTACCTTAGAATCCAATGTATGATTCTTCATGATATGTATTATATTGTCCCCTATATTGCTGCCTTGTACCTGAGAAACATATGTGTATGTGTTATTTACATTCAATATTTAACAGAGAGAAACAAGAGATATCAGGGTTAATTATAAATATGTGTAACATAAGTTATGAGTTTTTTTGACATTTGTATCCGATAGAAAAATTGACTTTTTAAGTAAACTTCAGGAGATTAATTTCCCTACCGGACACCAGGTGTGTTCTGAAGCTCGTCGAGAGATAAGTATTGAAAAGTGCTCTTCGAAAACGAACTACTAAATTTCATTTAAAAATTAAAAAAAGATAAATAATTCGCGATTAAAAAATAATTCTATTTCACAATTAATCGATTAATTTTATTGTAAATATCATAGTAAAGATTTTAAGCATTTTTCCACTTTTCCGCGGTTTTTCGGTTTCTTTCCGCAGATAGTAGAAAAAAAAAATTTTTATTATTTTTCAATTTTTCCACGGATTTCTTGATTTCTTCACGGATATATTTCGGTGGAAAAAATTTTTCGAGGAAAAATTGAAAAAGTCGGTTTTTGTAAACTATAATTACAATTATTATTATCGATATAACTTTAGATATAGTAATCTGTAAATTCACCAACGATAACACTTTTGCGCCTCCTCGTCATGTCACTAACTACGACCCTGGCATAAATACGAAGACGCACTCGAAATGATCGACAGCTAAGCCGAAAATAAAAATAAAAAATTGTACCTTCTCCCTGGCATCTGAGGATATACAAGCGTTTGCCAAGATACTCAGGCACATGTTGATTATGGCTCGATTCGAGCTGCGTAATAATTCCACAAGGATGCTAAGGCCACCGTTCTTGGTGAAGTCTTTGCAACGCAATGGTTCGTTCCTAAGCTGGGAGAGGCAGGTGACAATATCACTTTTGCTGTTCACTCGAATATGCTCCTTCAGCTCTTGCACATCCAACAACTCCGACATCGTCACGTCCTACCTCGTCAATGATGTCGCGCGTAACCTCGCGTACGCGGAAATTTCAGATAATTCCAATCGAAAATTGGGATTATTCGCGATGTAACATAACCTCAAAATTGCGTCGCCCCACGCGAGCGAACGTAGGTTCGTTTATTCAGCGTCGCGCGTGCGCACTGCGCGCGAATCGCCAATTATCGCGGTTGGTAATTTGCTTTCTTGTGCATCCGATCGTAATTCACAATAATGGAGGTACCATCGCTAGATGACGCTGAATAGTCCGCGTGTTGTCACGATTGTGGTAAAGCCACTCTCGTAATGTTCTGTAGTGGAATTTTATATGTTGTCCTAGTTAGATTAAGTTGTTAATGTTTAAATTATATTCCATTGGTGTTACATAAAAGGTGAACTACATACTACGTATTTTCTCGGTACGTAAGATTATCCACTGGTATTATTATTGAATAAAATAAATATGAAGGGAAAATATTACTGCCCTCTTCGTAAATAATTTGAAATTTCTTATATATTACAATCTAATATATATATTATAACCAATATTAAGATTTTATTTTCAGATATCCCGATTGATCTCACCATTTGCAAATATGAGCAAAGCTGCGAAGTATGTTGTACATATGGCGGATTACTTGGATACATATTCCGGCAGAGATAAATTGTTGAAGATGCTGTCGTATCTAACAAAGCTCCTCACTGTAAGCACTCCGTCCAAGAGTGCTCAAAAGAAATTTAAGGATATTGGGAACGAAATGAGTGAGTGTAGAATGTTACTGCGTCTGCTGGATGATTTTTCAACATTACGTTCTGTCATAAAATATGGATGGGGAAAGGAGGTAAAGAAAATATGCATATACCTGTAGAATAATATGAAATTTAAGAAATATTGTGTCTATGTCTGAAATCTTAAATATTGTTAATTACCTAAAATATTGTATATTACGTGTTTACTTGATATTGTTTTGTTTTTCTTAATAACAGGAACCTGATAGCTTAATCAGATGGATTCAGGTGCTACAAAATACTACAGATGTAGTCTATTGTGCTTTAGAACATATTTATTGGGCTGGTGTACGTGACATTGTTTTAATCAATGTTGATAAATGGAATTTAGCTACAACCTTGCTCTGGATATTTAGCATACACCTGTCATTTCTGAAGTAAGCAAAAATATATTCTCTGATATATCCTCTGGAAACTTAAAAAAATACAAATATGTTTTTGATACTTTGATCTCTTAATAGCCTGTAAGATGTCTCTCATTAGCGTTTATTTTTACAGGTCAATAAGAAAAATTAAACATCTTCAAATACGTAAAACGAACTTGGAAAGAATTCATCAACCTGACGTACTGTAAGTAATATATATTATATTAGCAATGATAATATACCTGAAGAGATAATTAATAGAGGAATCAACATATATTTGTTTCTTTTACCAAATTTAGAAAATTGAAAGAAATCAATAAAGAACGTACTTCCCAAGTATTGATATGCACGTGCTTATTGCTGGATCTTGGTTACGCAATTAATTACTTACCAGCAGGCGTACTTTGGGGAGAGCGTTTACAGACCTGGCAAGTAGGAGCGCTCGGCACGATGTCCGCGTTAATCGCGATTTATAAAGCTCTTAAAAGTCACATTGAAACGAAGAAACTTTCCTAACGATATATGGAATTTTTTTCATTGCTATCTTGAAAACAGAAGGTATTATATATCATATAAGTAGTGATGGGACATATGAAAGAAATGAATTTTAAACGTGTTTCACAGAAACACTTTGTAACAATATTTCAAATTTTGTTCCTTTAGGCTACCGTGGTGTGGATAAATACTTGATTTGGTTTCCGAGTTAGCGCTGATTCGTTCATGAAACGTCGGAAGTAAATCCATGAAGAAGGCGGCGCTGACTCGAAACCAATTAAGTACAATATTTCGAGTATTTTAATATATATGTATATATATATATGTATTTTAATATATATGTATATATGTTTAATATATTATATTTTTTCAATATTATATAATATTGAAATATATAATTGAAATATGATATTGAATCTGATAATGTTGTATTCAACATTATATAAACTGTATATATTTTATTACTGTATTTAATGTTATTAATTATTACTATGGGTGTTGAAACATTAACATGTTACACATTGAGAACAGAAATATCCTGTACGGAAATATGGGAATTAGTATTGTTATATATTTTTATACCTTGTTGTATCATTTGTTATAGTACACCAATTGTATTATCTTGTATATATACGCATTTTTGGAAAAAGGAAAATTGCATTATTTCTAATAACATCATGGGAATTCATGGGAATGAAGGTGTGGAAGTTACTTTACCATTGTTATTACATCTTTGTTAACGATAAGTTACTCTATTTCTATCAAAGATCACGTTAGATTTAAAAAATTTGTTTAATTTCTAAAATTAAATAATAATTAAAATATCACGAATAGGTAATCTGTATGAAGTTATTGGTTAAGCAAATACTGATTTCAAAACCATCAAAGAATATTCAGTGACGGTGCTAGAACATTCTATATATAATAAGAAAAAGTTATACCGCGTTATTCACATACCGTAATTAATGTTAAAGAGGACGCAATGGCGATCCTGTTTCAACTGTTGTTGAATATAATTCTCCCGATACAAGTATCGCATGCATGCTAACGCGGTTGGAATATCAAACGGCTACATTTGGGGCTGAACGTGAGTAGTGAATAAGGTTTTTTTTGTCCATAATAATTGGATATAAATTTTTCTCTTTTCTTTATATTCAGAAGCTTCGTCAGTATTTCTTTAAATGGTTTTGGGTTGTCGGTTGTCAGGTTTACATGCGATAGTGTGTCGTAAAATTTCCTATTTTACACGTACGTCGTTAACAAGTATCGTCGTGTCGTTACGAATTTCCACCCTTAAACACGTTATCAATAAAAGCTAAAGGATAGGAGAGGCACTTCTCGTCTGAACGTAAAACGAAGAATCTATCCACGGTGTAATCTACGTCATTACAACGCGGTTCACGCGGATCGAGGCCCACCCAAGTTGTACATCAAACGGCCCCACACTCGAATTTTGATCAAATCCAATCGACGATGGGACTCGACCCTACTCCCTGAAAAGCTTAACGTTCCCATGCACATTGGCAATGGTCTCCGTTTTTCGTAATAATAACAAATTATTCTGCTACGTGTCGATCAGGGCGATCATGACGCAGAAATAAACGCGACACTGGAATGTTCTTCAACGTGAGGTTTGATAATAAGTTATCACGCCTCTAAATTTATAAAAATCGGTGAAAGCGATAATTTTCCCTTCTCCTCGTCCCTCCCCTCAATTTTTTACTAGATATATCGTATCTCATAAAATCATTGGGAACGCTGATTGCAACTGCATTAGAAAATACAACGGTGTCCGGCATTTAATCCAGCCCCACGATTTCCCTGACCGACTCTAATAAGGCCCAGAATTTTAGCACGGCTGATAATTGAACGCGGATCCGCGCCTGCACAAGTTTTCCAACTTCCACACGTACATCTCTTCTCAAGTGAACAATGTATCCCAATAAAACGAGGGACCCGCTCCACATGACTTTCCTTCTTCCCTCACCCTTCTTTTTCTCTAGATCGTTCTACTGGAATCGATTGTCCAACTGAACGAGCGTGAAATCTCGAAGACTCTCATCGGCATGGACACGCGCGTAGTTGTCACATCATACAAAGAGATTCGGGCTCGTTTACGTGGTAACAACAATTAGAAAATAATTCACGTTCGCCACTTTCGGAGGAAAATCTATGAGGATGTTTATGTTTAAAAGGCACGACTTATTGAAACTCTCTCAAACAACGCGCTGTATATATAGACGAGGGTTCGTTAAAATTCGTTTACGATAAAATCTGCTCTATTGAAGTGGATAATACTGTTGCTGTCGCGCATAGAGAGCGATTTATATAGATTAAATATCACCGAAATATATCCGTGAAGCTTTGTGATCGAGCACGTGTGTGTGTGTGTGTGTGTACACACACACACACACGTATATATATATATATATATATATATACTTCGTCGATGTGTCTTAAAGCACTTTTTTTTAATAATCGCTTATATATGTAGCAACCACGTTATTATCGTCATCTATGTGAACCATATACATGTGATATACTCAACGGGATATACAACATATATATCGCGTGTCATATCAAGTATTCCTTCACGAATCAGCGGATATCGGCTACTTCCTCGGATAGAGCAGGAGTGGACGTCAAAGGACGTCATATTGGCGCATCAGAGACGTCATTGTCGTCAATGACGTCCTCTCGGCGTCACACCGTGCTGTTCATGCCGTATTTAACCGCAACGTGCAATTTCATCGTTATCACTCCGGTAAGCAGTCTTAGACCTTTTTTGTAGCGACAAGATGCACTTTCCCGACCACGATGCATCTTCGCTATGGCGATAAATCGCGGCCGTTGAGAGTGTATCCGTTATTTTTACCGACACTACTTACTACTACTTTTCGTTGGCAACTCGGTGTGCGCTTGTGTTAAAATATTCCCGTTACATCATCAGTCATCGCGCTAAAACGAACAGACGCGCGTGGCGCGCGATGATAAGACTCAACTATGAAGTAGCTAGAACATTATCGTAAAGAGCAACGTACAGTGAGAGCTAACCGCGGATAAAACGATCGCTCCGACTCTTTCGATCTCTCACGCATCAACGCGAGCGGAAGGGTTGCTAGTTACTTGCGACGGTGAGAGCTGAGTGGTGAAGCAAAAAAAAGAAAGTGTAAATAAAAACAGAGATAAGACAGTGTATCTGCAAAAATATGATTTTTAATTCGACAAAATCGTATCAAAACAGGAGAAACGCGTGGTAAAGGGTGAGGCCTTTCACTCAAAGGAAAGATGCAACATCTTCGTTTACATGATAACAAAAAGGAAAGAGAAAAAAAAAATAAAAATAAAAGCGAATCAATTCCCTACAATCCGCGCCAGAGAATCGTAGACCATGTACTTCTCCATTTCGTCAGCCGTTAAACAGTCCGTGTGAGCAAAACACATCTTGCGGCGGCCGCCCGCCTCGGTTAGACCGACTCTAATCGATCGCGGCCGCTCACGCTGCAATCGGATGTAAAGAGATACATTGTGATCTAACGTAAAAATTAACAAATGTGTAACGTCAATCGACAATCCGTATCCTTAATGGAAGAACGATCAGCGAGTTGTACGAGTATACAAATCGGAAAGGATCTCCCGTTATATCACATCAACATCGGATATATATCACGCGCGCATTGTAATAAATGACAAATAATTAATCGCATAATTATTAATTAGAGACACCGTTGCTAGAATCACCTTTCTAGCATTATATCGTAACAATTCATAAATTAAGCGCAATATATCCTTCTTATTCACACGATAAACGCATGATGATGAAGCTATATAAATTTCCTGAGAATCCTACGTGTGTTTTCCATTCGAGCCCAGCTCGAATTGCATACATAACGGAGCCTATTCGTCTCGCGTAAAAAATTATTGTCACTGTGAAAACCACAATTCAACTCTCACGACTTTAACGAAAACGTGTGCGTGTGTGTGTGCGTGTGTGTGTGTGTGCGTCTGTATTCGTTAAGTGTGCGTGCGTGTATGTGTGTATACGCGTTTTACTCCTAAATGCACGATCGTAAATCCAGTATACTGTTGGCACAATCTATATTATTTCGCGGTAAAAAAAAAAATCGACGAGAGAACCTGTCTCTCTCTCTTTATCCCTTCTTTCTTTTCTTCTAAATGAGCGCACTAAATAAAAGTATCGTTTGCTCGAACGTAGTAAAAAAAAAAAAAAAAAAAAAACTGCGTTCGCAATAGGAACTTTCTGACAAACACGATTTCAACATCCATCATGTTCTCCTCGCGCATTAACGATAACAAACCAATCGTTGCATTATTCGCAGCTGAAAATTGACGACGAATCCCTGCGTATCCCCGTGTATCGTCAGACTAGCTGTCCGCGGCTCTGCGATAAAAAAAACTTAGTCTGCACCCTGTTGCCTAATGTTCGAGATTAGGCGGCGCAACGTCGGTACCGGAAGAAGTCAAAAGGAACAAAAAGTGGAGGAGAACGACGGCGCGAGCGTAAAGCGAGTACTGAAAATTGTGGCCACGCGAGTACGAGTTTTTCTTCTCTTCGAACATCGCTCTTTTAGACCATGCTCGACATACGGGGATAGTTGTTCACTCCGAAGTTCGAATTCAATCCTATCACTTGATTCGTCTTCGAGTTCCGCGTCAGAGGTGTGTGATGCGACATCGAGTCCACGGAATGCTGCCACTGCCAGCAGCTGCGACAGAAGTATCGGAAACACACCTAAAAACGTACGATCAATCGTCAATTTGAGAAGTCTCTCAAGGATATCATTTTAAATAGAAGTCTCGCGCGGGAGAATGGGAAACTCAAGTTCCGCACAAGATAAAATCGAGTGACACTGAAAGAAAAAATTTATTCTGCGAGTAGAACGAATCTATAAATTTCAATAATTCAGAGTGATTTTTACTTGACTGAAGTAAAATCTTATTTTTTACAGATAAATTTTATTTCACAGTGCCACTCCATCAATGTAAAAATGAAATTATTCTCGTACCGCATCGCGACAGAAATAATGTCCTTGCTGTACGACGCACACGGAGCATATCGATTCTTCGATATACGGATCTACTTGTACCTGCGAGATACGTTTACGTAAAAATATACGTAGGTTTTATCAAATTTAAATATAACAGTGTTTATGTGTGTATATAATATATACAACAACATTTATGTATATAATACAACCTTCTTCGTGAATTTGTCAGTCTTAATCTCAATGAAGGAAGCGGTGATCGCTTTGAAGTACGACTGCTTCGTACTGAACGTGACACGGCCGGATCCTATCGGATATTTGTACTTGTCCGTGTCGATACCTAAGATGGTATATTATTATCGATACTTCCAAACGACATAAGCTGAAAGTAATCGTGACACAGGGGTGTCGTAGTGCGAATCACCTGCATAAATGACTCCGTGGAAAAGATCATCCATGACTTTCGCTAATCCTGCGGCCGTCAGCATCCCGTGTAGCGCCCCGACGAACACCGTTTTATGCGCATCGAGCCTTTGCGACGAAGATTTGACGTAATTGCTGTTCTCCAGAATCCATGGAATCACTTGCACCTGTGAAATGACGAAGTGAAAGTTAGAAAATCCATGCTCGATGCTGCTCTCACTTATACACACACGTTATCGGTTAACGTACATCTTTCGGTTTGGAACGCTTCGATATAATTTTGTAATACCACCTCTTGCCGTTGGTAATATCGTGAGTGCAACAGGATAACATCGCCCTGACCTGGGAGAGGCACATCGTTTATTTAAGGTTTGGTAAGAACTCGTTCTCGATTATGAATATTAATCACACAGACGATCGAACAAACGATACGATGTAGTACCTGTTTCTCTGATTCGAATATAATGTACGCGTATCCCTTTGGCTGAGCGGACGGTGCTTTCGCCGGCCATTCAACGCGCACCGGTCCGAATTGCTTGAATGTCGAGATCAGAATAGCCTCCGTAACATCCCACGGCACACCTCCCAGAAACACCTTAGGCGAATAAGCGACCGGCTCGTCGGTGCTTTGTGGCAGAAAGCCGCTCCATGTGCACGTCGGGTAACAATGTGCTGAGAAATCAAGAAATTTAATCGAAATCGAAGTATATCGCGTGCAAATCCTCGGAAAATCGACAATATTCTTCGCCACGAGAGACCGACGGTGTAACTGATATTTTCACGTGTGTGAGAAGCCATTCCAAGCTCTCTCGAGAACTCGACGATTGTTTCCAGTAGATCGATCTTACTAGATATTTCTTAATTGATGTCGATACGTACCAGCGGCATTTCTATGGGAACGCGCTACCCGATCGAGCGAGACCGGCTGGGCCAACCTACGCGCAGTGCTACCAAGAGCGGAACAGCAATTTTTCTCGTAATTCAGGAGAGAATTGAGAAAATTGCTGCGAGTCTGCCCGAGCCCGTGATGATGTTGGTAATAATGCGGATTTGTGGGATTCTGCTGTAACGATGACAAATACTTTTTCACAGCCATACGCTCGAACGCAGTCCGATTGCTCGGGCACGCGTTCGCCTTCCCCGATATTATGGAGTCCAAGGACTGAGGGAAGCAAGAATTCGACGAGGAATTCAGCGACAAACAGTTCTGCGAATAAGTATTTTCGATCACATTAGAAATGCCCGTGACTGCGCTGATTCAGGTAATAAAGGAAAAAGAAGAGAGAGAGAGACTTTTCGCGGAAGAGACACTCACCATTATTATGTCGGACAAGGAACCGTCCGCGCTACCGACGCCGCTCGTCTCCGAGTCGGCCGGCGAATTGGAGCGCGAGCCGTTGCATCCCAGAAGATGAGAGAACTCCAATGTCGGACTACCGCAATCGCTGTACACAGTATCGAGAACCGTGACTCGTAGCCGGAGAATTCCGCGCGTATCGCGTGAATATTTGCGCGCGAAACGCATTCTCAAAGTATTCCCCTTCATCCTTCTGTTTTATCATCGGATTGAGATGCGAAGGTTCGTCCCGTTTTTTTTTTTTCATCAAAATGTACACATAGAATGTCCCGTCGCTAACTGGGACATCCGTCACATACTCGTAGATTGTCCTTTAATATTTTGTAAATAACCATGCAAAATTTTGAGTTACTTCAATCATTAAAAATAACCACAGAGGTATTTTTGATTAATAACTCGGAAATTTGCGCGGTTATTCGCAAAAGGGTTGAGCATTTTTTGTTTACCTTGACTTGAACTACAAGTATATGACCGGATATCTCACTTAGCGACAGGCATCTTGTATAACATTTATTTACTTGAAAATACAACCAATCAATTCCAATATACGTCCAATATTTTGTCCAATAACAAAATGACTTGCCATCTCTTGATAGCTGAATATGATCCCGCTTTCGAAATTCTGCGATTTCTGAGCGAAAAACCGATCGTACAAAAACGGAAGGGACTTTCGCACCGACCCGGTACAGCTCAAAATACATTTCCCGCGCCTTTCTTCTCGCGATACATCGTCGCTGCACATCGTCTGCGTTCCTTGCTTTACCTGTACGGCGTGGAGCAGCCTCGTATCGGACGACCATAGTACGATGAGTCAGTGGAGGATGACGAAGTACCGGGATACTGGAACGACGGTCGGCTGGTCGGCGAAGATGGCGTGTTTGTACTGTTGCTGGCAGTGGACGAATAGCTGTAAGGATCCGACGTGAAGCTGCAGGGAGTGCTGGGGCTGCCAGGAGCGGTCGCAGAGTTCGGTGAGCTCGGTGTGTCCAGAGTCGAGGAGTTCGAGCAGAAGCCGTGGTTGCGGTGGCACTGCGAGAAAATCATTAATTAAAGGAAATGGAACTCACGTCAAGATCAAACGCGATCGGCCGGGCTCTGAGAGCGAGACAGGACACACGGCAATCAAAACAGAGAGTTCTTGCCGCGCGCGCGTGTGTATGTCTATGTTTCGGAGTACTTGGAGTATTTCCAAATTGAAATGCAATATCACGCGACCGACCTGAGTCGCGGAGAGCGTGTGATCTTTTGAAAGCGGCAAAGCCGAGTTCGCGTCGGCTCGTTTAAAACGAAGAGGAACGACGCGCGTCCTATAATAGAGCCGTTTGGCTCGGACCAACGCCGATTCTCAGCCGTATCGAGATCTTGCTCGGGAAAAAAAGACTCGTTTCCCGCAACTGAATAGCGAAGCAGATGAAATCTCGGCGACGAGAATGATATCTCCGTTACCGTCGACTGGGAGAGAACATCCGTGCAAACATTCAGCTGCGTTCAAACTCGGCCAAGAGAACTGAGAGTGACTGACTGAGCAGAGATCTCTTACGGAGATTTTCGGCAAAAATAGTGTGCTACGTGAAAATTGAAAGACGTTCAGTGTTAGCTAAGACACCTGGTCGTTCTTCCTTTTTCTACGAAACTCCCGGCAAACGACGAAACGGTGGAAAAAGAGGCGGGACGCGCGTAGAATCGAGCAGTTGGAGTAATTCCAACGAGGATGATCATTGTTCCCCGGTTATTGCATCGTCCGTCCCTGTGATAAGTGCCTTCGGCGATACGTTTTACGCTACGTTTGTCATCTTTATCGCCTCCGTACGCAATATTCGCAACTCGCCGGGGCTATTACAACAGCCGCTCGTCGAATCGGACGCCGATTTCGTTTTATATTGGGAAGCACTCGCGCGAATAATAGCGTAATACGGACGGAGTGGCGGGTCTCTTCTAGGAACGTCATCGTTAATCATCGTGCGACGCGTCGCCTCGACTCCAGTGAGAATCGAGATTTCCACATCGCTATTTTGTATCTCGTGACAGTGACCTTATCGCCATCCGCCAGTCGCGCTGACTCCTACTGATCCACCTACTCTCCTGTCGCTATTATCCGGTATTCGTAATAAAAGCCGCGTTAAATATCTCCGTCCTGTAATATTGTGCTAAGTTTCTCGAAATAAAGCTAGTTAAAGTTATGTTATTCGAACGATCGTACACACGCATTTTCAGTCAACGCGCTTGAAATCCCTCCTCGCTTTTACCGCGATTTACGATTTTACCTCGTGCTGCTGCTGAGAGGCAGAAGATCCCTGAGCTTGACCGTAATACTGATAATTACGGTAACTCGGAGAGCCGACCGCCGCCGATTGGCTTCCCATCAACGATCCCCGGGGCAAACCCAATCCAAACATATCCGAGATCGCGCTGTCGCCTGAGGAGGAATTAGGAAAGAAAAGCGATTAGTAGGAAGGAAACAAATAATATCCGTATAAACAAAGGAGATACGCTTAATATAATCGTATCTATTTTTATATTAGTCGAACAAGCAAACAGGATTTATCTTCACAGTATATCATGCCTATAATGATGCAAGGAAAATAAAGTCACAGTACTAAGACATCAATTCTCACTAATCATTTCTTAGTAACCAGAATTGTCCCAAAACAGACATTCGAAAAGTAAAATTGGATCCAGCGGATCTGAAAGTACGTTGTGAGGTGTGCTGAGAGGATTAAGGAAAAAATACGTCGCTGCGTCTTACCGTCGGTGTTGTTCTTGTCGGACTGCGACGAGGGGACCTCTTGGGAGTAACTGGAGATATGCGCAGGCGGCGGCGGTAGGTCCAGCAGCAGATTGTTGATCGACTGCAACTGATGCAATCTCTCGCGCTCCTGATCGCGCTCCTTGCCGCGCTCCCGCTCGCGGTTCTGGTTGAGCTTCCGCAGCAACAGCTTGCTGCGCTCCCGATTCTGCATCGTGTCCTGATGATGCACCGGATCCGGGTGATTCATCGACGCGCCTCGATCGAATCCCAGGTCTGCCCTGTCGTTCTCCTCGCTCACCAGCAAGGGGTCCGACTGCAAAATTCGAGACATTCGCTCAATCGACCCGACTCCTCGTGTTTCCACGAATACGTTGTCGCGAGGATTGTCACGACTGAGAACATTTTTGCGAACGTTCAGCTGCGCTGAGAAAAAAGTACTTCAATATTTATTTGTAGGATATATGGTTTATTCCGGTGAAGGATAAATATCATATCTCAAATAAACCTTATCTCGGTGAACTTTACATCCCGCAAATAAATTTTGAGCACTTTTTTCTCGGTGTATTCATAGTCGGATTTTATATTCAAGGTCGTCCTAAGTTTCATCTTCAGGCGCTATACGGGATCGTTTCATTGGCTGCAATGTATCCGAAGATGAATTTAAGACGGTCTCAAATATGAGATTTGAATATGAACATCTTCGACCTACATTGAGAAAAGAAAGAAATCGAACCGGCAAAATCGGAAAATCATTCAGAGAAATATTGTGCCCACTGAACAAACTACGCGTTTTGACGCAACGATACGTAACGTTGATATACAATACCAGACCACATAGCAATATTGTTGAATTAATAGATGATTCATTAGTTCAGTGGCTGTATAATTTTCTCACTAAAGGTTGTGCTTAAAAACAATTTAGTTCGTTCAGGCAAAATTTCGTCGATTCTCCTTTCTTCTCAGCACAAAGGCCTTGACAGGATGACTGACTTGCAATTTCAAGGCAACGTTCTATGTTATTAAATCTTTGCATAAATCGTCATTTTTTATCCTTTTTTATTATATAGCGGTTTGTCATAAATTGCAAGCAGAACGGCTTTCAGTTTGCGACTCCAGACATAGAACAGTCATTGTGCGTACTCAAAAGACAAAGACTTGGGGGCGTGAAACGTTGTCTTGAACCAATAAGTCAGCCATTCAAGCCACTCTCTGCTGAGATCCTAAGACTCGGTCGAGACAACTGCGAACAATTGATTGAGCAGAAACTTCCTACGGCAATCCTTCCGTTTCTACGACCGAGTTTTCATCCGATCTCGCGTCAACGGGAAACTCTGTCACACCAACGTCTTTTCCCTGCACCGAGCACATAAGGCCTGTTCTACAATATGTCATACGTCGTTGTCGGATGCCGGAACGCAGTCGATGTTCCGATGAGGGAGAATTCACTTTCGGTAAATAAATTCTCCGGCTACGTTCCGACTTCGACATACGGCGAATTGTGGAACAGGCCTAAATGGAGACCGAGAACACACGCACGAACGAAGAATTCGCTCCCTCTGAGAAGAATTTCACCGTCGTGCGACCTGGGGCATCGTCGTAGTACGAACACGCGATACGTCGCTCACACGGGAAAACGGTAATTCATCGCGCAGCACTCCGTAACGCGCGACCAAGATCGAAAGGTGCTCAAAATGGGTTGCTTCCCAGTTGCAGCAAAAGACGCAAGTTGACACAAATCTCATTTCACCATTAGTCCTTATTTCGCATTCGGTAAGGAGAAGGATAACAGATAATACAACTATAATTCATGTCGACTTCCCAGGCAACATAACGTCTGAGATCGGGACACGAGACGTCTTTCAGGCGTCTTCGAGGCGTCTCGGAAACGCTCGTAAGCAAGACTTCCGAGTCTTTCGGACGTTGCGTTGTCTCTCGCCGGGAAGCGACCATGATATTTCGCTTAGTCATGGATCTTACCGGCGCCTCGTGCAATTACCTCGCCTCGCTCGAGCGGCCGGGCGTTTCCGTATTTCCTTCCTCCCGGTCGCGTCGCCTCGCCGGAAAAGGAAGAGAGAGAGAGAGAGAGAGAGCTTCGGCAGGATCACTTCGAAATCGCGTCGTGTTCGCGCCGTGTGTCTCGCGGCGGAGACGACGCGCGCTCCAGCTCGACTACCGACGTTGTGAACGCGGACGGCGCTGCGCGCGCGCGACCGCGCAAACAGGGGCCTGAAGGACGTCACGCGCTCTCTCCCGGGCCGCGTTTGGAATTCGGCGAAAAAAAGATTCCTCGGGAACCGGGCTTATCGGGACGCACATTCCGCGGCTTTCCCGGAATCTGCTTTTCGACTTTATTATCCGGCCTCGGTAACCGAGAGAGCCGGCACACGCGTTGTACACGCGACGCTCGTGCCGTCGCGGTGTTTACGTCACGTGTGTGTGTGTGTGTGTGTGTGTGACGGGCTCTCTCCGCGAAAAGAAACCCCTTTCGCTCGCGCGCGCGGGCTTCTCTCGCCCGGACTATCCGGGTGTCGCGCCGATTTCCGCACTTCCCGAGGCGAACGGACACGATCATCGGCCAGGACGCAAAACGGAGTCGCCCGCCATTGTTTCGCAGCGATTCGCGAAAACGCGGAGACACCATCTTGCACTCTCCCCCGATCGAGAGGCTCGTTCGTTTCAGCCGGACCAGAGCTGAAAACCAGCAAGTGGTACCTCGTTCCTTTTCCTTTCAACGCCGAATCATGCGCTCGTTTCATTCGAGAGCCGAAAAGTGCAATCTGATTCGGCTGAAACGACGAAACCTGAGCGCCCATCCGATGACGCTGGTGTTACGCCGCATATGTACGCACGACGGTCGCGTTGATTAATAAATACCAACAACGGCAACGAACTTGCCGCTTACAATTCCGACGGCAGTAACGAGATTACGAAAATAATAATGATATGGTACAACGAAAATAACAAACAAATAGAATTGTTTAGGTTTGCACGGCGAACTACCGAGTATCAATCAATGAGGAACTCTACGTAGAACTCGATTGAGCGCAACCAGAGTGTCGTAATCGAGAATACACGTCGATTATCAGATATCCCGCAATTCGCGGCTCGTCCTTGCAGATCGATCGACCCAGATTTTTGGCAATCGCGCGCGGTGCATTGATCTCTTTCTATCTCTCTATATATTTCTTTTTCTCTCTCACACAGACATACTCGTCCTCTCCTCCACCCTCTCGCGCAGGCCCGCGTGTACGAGTCTTTTCGAAGGAATTTTCAGAGGGCGCGTTGACGAATACATATTCGTCAGGACAAGATCCTCGCGCGCGCGACTCCAACATGTCGCGTGTTTATTTACGTTCGCGCGACGCAGGACACATTCCATCGCGCATTATGTGCGCTCACGCCGTGGTCGACGTGGTCGAATTAATAAAGGAGAACGCGTCGTCGAGGCGCGCGTTAGGTAGACGAGAGAGGGTGGCGCGAGATCAGAATCGCGCCGGGGACTAGAGCGGCGATCCTCGGGCGTGGAAGGGCGAATACCGATCGGTTTTTCGCTTCTAACCGCCGCCTCTCTCTCTCTCTCTTTGTCTCTTCCTCTCTCCCGAATCTCCATCAATTTCCCATTTTTCAACGAGCACAAACGCGAGCATCTGCGCGACACGAATAGTCCGGAGCGAAGGAGACCGGGGTGGGTAACAATTAAGACTCATCAGCCCCCCGTAGCCCCCCAACAATCCCAAAAGACGAAACGCGGAGCAGCTCCGGATGGTTAAGGCGAGAAGAGCATCGCGCAGGAGAGGCGCTGAAACTTACCGACTGCAACAGCATAGGCATGTCCGGAGCGGAGGGTGGTCCTGCGGGGTCGGTCACGAGGAGACGGCGAGAGCTCGCAGGACGATGCGTCGTCGACGGGCCGATTACCGTGGTAGATCTATCAGCTCGCTCGCTCACTCACAGCTCGCTCTCGCACGGTCTCGAAGGACACGAGCGAGTGAGAGCCGCGACTCGACGGCTAACGACAACGCGGCCCGCGATACGGAACAATGCGATCTCCTGGCGTCGCGCGTGCCGCGAGAAGTTACGCGCGAATGGTGACAAACACGCGCGACGACCACGGCGGCGGCGGCGGCGGTGGTAAGGGGGCGACTTCAGACTACTGCGGCAGAGGATCGCCCCGACGACGATTCCGACACCTGCGATCGGCGCCGTGCATCCGCCGCCTGCCGCCGTTTGCCCTGGTTTGCGGGCGGAATTACAAGCGCTCCGAATGGCTGCTCGCGCGACGTTTATCGCCGACGACGCGACGACGAAAACGGAACGCCCATTCTTCCGCATGCTCCGCTACACCCCCGACGAACTCTGAAGTACTCCACTATCGCATTCTCGCTCTGTCTTTATCTCCCTCTCTCTCTCTCTCTCTCTCGTCAAGTCAGCTCCCTTTCTGCCCCTCTCTTTCATACGCGCGATCTTCGTGGCTTTCGAACACGTCGCGCAAACGCACATACCCCTCGTAGAAGTCGAGGCTCGTCAATCGTTTGCGTTTTGTTGGCACTCTTTATGTTTTTGAAAATAAGGACAGCCAGGGATTTTGGAGAGGGGTGGTGTAAGTGATGAGAAGTGATGTTAGATTCGCTAAAATGAAGTCTTTCAGGACGAGTTTGTGAAGAAAAAAAGGCTTTAGTCAAAATGATGGTTTTATTGCATTAAAAATTTGTCTTTGTATGATAAACCTCAAAAACGATCGATAATACAGAGCCCGACGTTACTTGCTTTCGAATCTAGGTCTTTTGTTCGTTCGCATTTTTTCGCTCTAATAGTACGAACAATGCATTTTCTTCAACCTGTTGGATGATTTTCATCTTTCTCAATATGAGAAGGAAAGTATCTGGCTGTCAACGGATTAGATAATGAACATTTTTTTATTTCCCAAGCTACAGATTCGCTACAAGTTGATGACTTATCGCATAGTGCAAACGATCTTGTAGTAAGAAGTTCGTCGTTTTATGTGCAAGGTGTATCAAAATTAGAATATGTACAAGACGTATGTACACTATTTACACTCCGACGATTCCGCTCCGGAAATAAGTATGTTTGAAATGAAGCTTAAATTATTCTTGCCTTATGACGAATGAACACACTATATATAAGAAAAAAGTAGGTTTAATTATACTCTATATGCGCGGTCGACGAGTCTAACATTTCGACCTCGGAAGTGTCGCTGGTCGAGTAATTAACCAGGGAGACGTGTTGCGAACGTTCCAGCTTGTCGGACGGATTATTTTCCCCTTTGCTGGAATTCTCTCCCCATCCAGAGAATAGATTTACTCTTAGTTTGTCGATATTCGGGTCGTCGGACGTGCTTACATTACTGCTGTTCTCCACAGACAGTCTGATCTCGCTGTTTGGAGACTGTTTGTACTTTGGTACTTCCGTAGGTGCGTCTGAAAAAAAGTCTCGTTTGTGAACAGATTGTACGGATTCTACTACGAGTTCCGTCGAGTTGATTAAAACGTTCTAACTTTTCAGTCAAGCTAATATCAAATTTCAGAATATATAACGACGAAGGAAACACCTAGATTGTAGTTTCTGTTTTATGACACAAGAAGCAGAGGAATGAATAAATCACGGAGATTTTCTCTGCAGCTGGAAGGTTTCTTTTTCCGCGACGTCTTCCCTACATACAATGTCCAACTGTATACGTGCCTGGATACGGTGGCGTCTCGTCGATCAGTTGTTCCATCACGTAGCCCAACATGGTCGTGGTGAACGTGTCGTCCCTCCTAAGACCGAGTGCTCGGTGGAAAGCATCCACTGCCTCTTGGGTGTTACCCGTTAGCGCGTGAATATATCCAATTGCCGAGTAAGTCGACGGGTTCAGAGGGTCCAGAACTAATGCTTGTTGATGATATCCCAACGCCTCGTCGTATTTCTTCATCTTTCTACATGTGTGGCCTAAATTATTCAACAGAGCTTCCCACTTACTAGGCAGAAGCACGTCTTTGGGATCGCCTTGGATTCTCTTCATTGCTTCCTTAAATAATCGTTCCGCGTTCTTGTAACTACAAATGTTTCAACGTTTTAAACTACGAACGTTCTATAACGCATTTACCAAGAATGTTTCACGATAATGAAGCGCGGATCCGTACATTATGGAACTTTTACATGTGATCATTTAAGCGCAAATCAGAACTTACTCTAAATTGTAAAAACATATAACACCCATCTCATGTATGACGAACGGATCATTGGGTGCTATTCCTTGGGCTTGCTGAAAAAACTTGTCGGCCAGTTTTATATTATTCGTCAAACCGCATTCTAATCCGATGTATAAAAGTGGCAGATGGCAGCCTTTCATCAGTTGCGATGCCTTGAAATAAGCGGCCATCGCTTGATCGTGTTCGTTTTCTACCGCAAACGAATGTCCATATGCCAACCAAGCGGGACCAAACAGCCTGTCCAACGCCGTGGCCTTTGCCAGATATCTTCTTGCTTGGTCACTTTTATCTGAAAGTAAGAACGCTATTAAACTTCAACTTTTCCCTTTCTCCTTAGTCTTTTTACGATCTTTGATTTTACATAATACTCTTTCTTTTAGTGTTCAACAAATGATTATAGAATAACAACTTACCTATACTATAATAATAGCATCCAACTGCAAACCACGCCAATGCCATTTCCGGGTATAAGTCAACTAATTTGTGCGCCAAATAAAATAAAGCTGCGAAAGATCTCATTGTTAACAAGTTCTGATTCTTTCATTGTGACGAAATACAGACTTACCATTAGTCTTCTTCAGTTCGACTAAACAGGCAATGTGTACCGGCAGGCAGGAATTGTGATATGGATCTTTCCTTAAGATTCTGTACATAAGAAAAAGTTTCGTTACAATTCGTCATGGAGAACACGAGAATATGATATTACGACGAGAATGCAACTTACTTCTCTGTCAGTGCGAAACATTGATGATATTCACAGTTGTAATACAATCTTTCAGCCTTTGTGACTTCCATGTCCAGATTATCCGATAATCTATCAGTGATGCAAATTCCCATTACGTTACATGTAATTAACGACTGCTTTTTGTTTGGCTCCTGATACTTCTTTAGTTTACTCTCATACAGCAGTCGCAAGAGTTCTGCCTCACCCTCAGTACATTGTTCAGCAAAAGGTAAAGATTCCAGAAGTTCCCTCTCTGAATTAACAATTCGTTATTACATATGTATGTATGACTCGTCTTTTAAAATAAACCTGCACCTGGTCGGAATCGGTACCTTCAGTAGCCGAGAGCATCTGATTCTGCACCAAAGCTTCAAACGCTTGATACGAGTAGACATCACACTGCAAAGCCTGCTTATAAAATTCTGTTGCTACTGCTCTGTTATCCATGGCTTCATATATTCTCCCTTTCACATATAATATTGCACTTTGGACCTTTTGGCGAAAAAATTATAAAATAGTTACTATAAATTATAATGTATGCAGTGAAATTGTGCAAATAATCCATATGATGAAGATAAAATTGTACTTATATTATTGCAAATATGTGTTTATATCTCTATGGACTGTTTCTAGATATAATAAGATAGATATAAATAGAATACATAAATGAGATAAATATAAATGCAATTACATTTTTCGGGGCATCCTGAAGAATATCCGTACGATCAGTAAAAGTAATACCTGATTGTGTCATGTTTGTATATATTTCAGACTCACTAATGACTTGAAGCGCCTCATTATATTCCTTAGCTTCTAGTAAACTCCTCGCAGTTAAATAGTAACACATTACATCAGTCTATATTAACAGATCATTATTTAGTTCATTATGAGCTAATTGTTTGTCATTTGTGTAATATCTGAAAAGATTGTATTTCTTATTGAAAATACCTTTTCTAAACCATGCCTCCTTATGAGGTGTGCAGCACGATGATACTGTTTCATGAGATACATGCAATGTGCCAAAGTACACACATCCTTTGGATCTTCGTTGCTCAGAGACAATACTTTATCAGCCCAAAACAAAGCAGCGCTATAAAGGTGCTGAAAAAAATTAACACAAATTCAATTTCATGGTCACAGCCTCTCCTTTTAAATTTAATTTTATTCAAAGTTAGAGGAAGTAACGTGTTATTCTTTTCTCATTACAAGTAACACATTACATTTCAAACCTGTAAAATATTACATCTAGATGTCCAGTTATTCAAAGTTGTGAAAGAAAAAAAATGTTAAAATCTTCTTTCTTCTACGTACACATCGTAGCATCTATATGTAATATTTTACAAAGTTTGGAAGTAACATGTTACTTTTAAAAGTAACGAGTAATGTGTTACTTCCAAAAACTGCTGTCATATATATGCAAACTAACGATTAGATTTGTTACTGTTATCTAACAAATATAACTATTTTACCATTATCGTTACTAATGAAAATAATAATATACACAGTTATTAAATAAATACTGAAAAAAAGGAAAAAGTAACGGCGTTACAAGCAACGAGTAACTTCCCAACACTGATTTTATCTTACTCAACGAAATTCTTACCATGTCAATGTATGATTTAACTAATTTCCTACAGTTTTCCAGATCGATGCTTTTCTCGTTTAGCAAATTATTCATGCTGTCGTTATTAGTATCGCGACGTGACATGTTTGGATTTCCCTTCTGCAAGTTATTATAGGTTATGATAGGTTAGGGACTGACGCTCTTCTTTGGCAGCTGTATTTTAGCCCTCTTGTTTTATGTACACTTTCTCGCACTCTATACTCAGAATAAAATAGACGGATTCAATCTTGCGAAGAAGAAAGAAGAAAGAAAACGATTGTATAGAAAACGCAACTATAATAAGAAGATTCAATAAATCACTCTTTCCTAAAATCTTAAAAATTATTTAGATAGAATTTATAAAATTGTTTTCAGTCTATTCGTTCTTCGAACTTCACTTTCTTGAATGTTTTTTTCTAAAAAATACCTGAATATTTAGACTTCAAAGAGAAAAGGTGGAAGCAATAAGGTGTAAACAGTGCAATTAAAGTGGGTAGATCGCTATATTTTTTTTTTCAAATTTGCGCATGCGTGTTACGATCAAATTGAATAATTCTGATAGATCCTATACAAAGTCCTTATTTTTTCAACTCGATTCTCTAAATAATTATAATTTTCTCAACGGCGCGCGTTTAACTATATAACAACTCAAATGTGTGTTCAACTGTAACAATAAACTTACATTATCAATTTTTTCCTAAAGTGGGAGCGGTTGTAATAAAGCGACAAGATCTGTACCATTTATATTTGCAATATATTAAATAATTATTAATTAGATACAATTATGTGCGATAGTAATTTAAATTCATATCATTTCTATATACATTTTTTCCCCTTTCTTTCTTTCTTTTTTCCTCCACTGTACTTTTTTCCCCATCTCGCAATATTTTTAACAATCTTTTCGCTCGATATATGAGAGTCTTAATTATTATGACACGAGTTGTATGTACCAGATATACACATAAGACATTAGTTTCCTCTATTGTTGCTCTTTTTGCTTTTGTATTGCCCCTCTTCGATCTCGCGTTATCATACAAAAGTGAGCGACTATCGCGTACAACGACAAATAATTAGTCAATTATCAATCTCGTCCATCGATACCCTCGATAGAGATGTGTAGCATCGGTGGCGTTGAAATTCTCAAAGTCCACGAATATAGCGTGTGCATTACGAGTGCGAAATAAATCGAGAACAACATAAATCGTGAACAACGCATCAAATCGTGTCGACGACAGTGTGTGTAGTCCGCACGTAAAAGTTGCTCACAACTTGAACGTGTGTTAAAGGAATGAAAATATGCAGGATAGAGCTTAGAGAGTTACAGTCCACCTAACGTATCCTTCAGATATATGTACAAAATACATCTATTATTTCCCCCTTTCCCTCCGATGAAGCATCAATCACAAGTCTTGCGTGTTGGACAACATAACATAATGTTTCTCAAATCTTGCACCATAATCGATTGTAAAAATACAATTTCATTTAAATATAAACACGCGGGTCTGATTATAAACAATCCATTGACCAGCGCCGACAACTTTCACTCTCATGTGCTTAAACTGCTTATCTTGTTAAATATCGTTATATTGTTGCGTTCGATCACGCGTCATCTGCACGTGTGTGTGTCATTCAAAAAATCCGCGAGGTGGACGGTAGGTCTGAGCTGCTATCCGGTGCAATCGCGTGACAGAGCAAACCGATGAAGCGTAACGAGAAGAAACGAAGAAATGTGAACGTTGTGAGGCATAATACTGTTGAGTCGATTAATCTACCTATATTCGTCAGTTCTCGAGTTTCTCGTGCGCGGCGACTCGATGACGCGTCGACAGGTAATAACGCGGCTCGTTACGCCACGATGAATGACTGCGCGCGCGCGAATCTCACGAGGCATCGGAACTTTCTCGCTCTGACGATTTTTCTCTCATTCATCATCGTACGGGCGGCGATCGTGTGACGACGTTAATATTATTATTATGAAAATATGACGCGAAAGAGGCGCACGCACAAAAAAGCAGCTATATAAAATCTCGCTTCACATTCACACCCAATGGAGACAGTCGAACACCAAATCAACATACATCTGTTACATATGCTCCGGAAAGGAAAAGGCAGATAATGGAATATTGAAAGAAGAAACGCCAGAAAAAAAAAGCGAATGACACCATCTAAAGTGGAGAGTCTGACAAAAAAAAATGTCCGTGATACACGACGATCGTTCTCATACTGATTGATATAATAAATAGCTAGATAATACAGAGGGATAATGCTGATTATTCAATACAATTAGACGTGAAAGTAAAATAGTAAACAATAATCGATATAACATGCCCTTTCGTAGGTAACCTAAGAGTAGGGAGGAACTTACACGTATTACGTTGAAGTTCGATATAAATTATTTTGAACGTGACTATAAGCTTCTGCGCGCGGCGGTACACACGCGGTGTACGCTTCCTCTCCCTCCCTCTCTCTCTCTCTCTCTCTCTCTCTCATCTTTTCCTTTCCTTTTCATATAAAATTCGAAGACACCTTTAACAGTTCGCTTTCGTTATCGTTTTTACCGTTAATAAAATTCGCGACACACTCCGCGGCACGGCGACTCCGCGCGAGATGTGTTCACGAAGACTCCACGTGCCGAGAAGAGACACGCGACGTCTCAAACGAGGCGCGAACTGCCCGAACACACGCGAAGAAGCGCGCCGGTAGCGGCGGCACACCGACGACGGTCACACCCACTACATGTACCGTGTGTGTCCTAAACTCAATGTTAATAAATTATTACGAAGTATTAAAGTTAGTAGAGATACACGCGCGGTCTCTCTCTCTCTCTCTCTCTCTTCCTCTCCCTCTCGCCGTAGTCGTAATTATGCCGCGAGAATTTAGTTTGTCATCAGCGTGATTAGAAGTAAGAAAATCATGCGTTGGCAAATGGCAGTACTTGGAAGAATAGAGAAATACAAATTCTCGTGGGCTTTCTACCGACTATCACAATGCTTTTACGACACTAATATCATAATATAGCCACGATAAAGTTCGTAATTTACGAAACAACACCGAGCGACCCGTGCGGGAAACGGGATTCGTCCGTCCCATCGTTTGCACCGCGTACACGACGTATGTGACGTGGCCCCCCCGTCTGCCCAGCAGAGGTCTCGTTCGCACATTCAACGGATAAACGATTCCGAATACTCTTAACTGCGTACAAGTGAGACGAATCTCGTGTAACATATATCCGTAGTTTATGTGTGTACACCACTGAAAGTTCTTAGCAGATAACAACGAAAACGAGAGGCGCGAGACGGTGACCGAGAGAGAGCAGTTTCGCGTCCGCTTCCCGAATTCTCTCGTCGCCGCCTCCTCCTCGCGTTCTTTCTTTCTCTCTCTCTTTCTCTCTCTCTCTCTCTCTCTCTCTCTCTCTCTCTCTCTCTCTCTCTCTCTCTCTCACTTTTGACCGTTTTACTAGGATTAAACGTCGCGTAGAACCAAAGATACACATCTCGCGATACGTGAGACCTTTACCGTCGAGGATTACTACCCATCACTTCGCGATTACATATAAAATTAATCCATGGTTTAAACAACGCGTTAACTTTCCAATCACGCAGCGAGTATACAACACCTGCCCTCTGGATTTTACTCTGCGCGCTGCGATATACGTATCTTTTCTCGTTCAATCATATTATCGATATATTATCCGTTGAAGTTAAAATTTACATAGTCACTATGTGTGTATGTGTGTGTGTGTATGTGTGTGTGAGTGTTAATTATCAAGTCTTATCGATATCTAAATTTTAAAATGTTCTCGAACGTTTGATGCTTGCAAGTGTAATACGACCTTTAATCGTTACGATTAAGTTTCCGCAGTGAAGCGCGTATACATATGTGCACACACAACGCGCGTGTGTGTACATATATATACACATATACACAAACATATATATATATATATTTATTTATATATAGTTGTCAGACAAATTGGAAGTTTTGTATTTCACTAACGTAAAGGCTTAATTCAATCTTTAAAGCCCCGCACTTTAGGCTTCGTTACTTTTAGTCACTTTTAATCGGAAGTCATTTTAGTCTACAGTATGATCCCTGATTAGTAATCCCTGTAAAACGGAATTTGCCACGCGTGTTAGTAACCGAATTTCACATACACACTCGAGTTCCCAGTTTTTTTCTTTTTTTTCCCTCTAAACTCGTATAAGCGGATAATCTTTGGTTACCCAAAAAACTTCTCTATCTATACGTTGCTGATTACTTCATATTTCCGTAAGGCAGGCAGATCAACAGCTGCCCATTTTGCCGGGTTCCTACTTTAAGGCCCCGGATACGAATCTCAATTTACAATTTTCTGGTCGAGTTTCAGGTAGAGAATCGATAAAACTCTTTTCACGCCGGATCTCTAAATCTCGCTACCAAAGATGAGACTCATATCTTTGCGTTGATCGGCGCGCGCCTTTGTGTAAGATTCGTCGGAGCAAGATGCGAGAACAACAGAAATGCAAGAGAAATCCCCCCCACCCTCCGGGCTCGCGCATTTGGCCTTGGAAAAGAACTAATCTAACTTCGTTCGGAAATTCTCTCGAGACTGACGTGGAAACCAGCGAGAAGCCCGATCGTTACACGTCGACCGGGATGATAGCAAAAAATAACTTTCAGTCGTTCAAGGTAAGAAATAGGCTATTTGAGGTTACTATATACGCATACTCGGGAAGAACATCAATCCGGTATTATGATAGCGGAGCACGCAGTATTCTCTCTAATCGGAATCCTCGTCGAACGGCGGAGGTAACATGGCGAGGTGCTGCGCACTGAGCATTCCCCTGGAAAGCGCGTACTCTGCCAATGCGCGATGGCAAAACACGTACTGATCCGGCATTTGAATACTGTAGGCCCGCTGCGCTCTGATCCTCTCGACGGTTCCTCTGATGTCCACGGTCCCGGTGTCCTCCAGCCGCGATATGCAAATATCCAAGGTGCAAAACGTACCTGGAACCGACACCAACGTGACGCTTGTAGAGGCGTGAAGATTACGGAGACCGTTGTTGGGATTTGGATCACGGTCACACGTCATCTCGATTCTATAATTCAAATCGACGAATGCTCACCTGTCCTTCCGATACCGGCGCTGCAATGTACAACTATAGGTGGTCCTCGAGGATGCCCGGCCCATGTGTCTCCTCTGCTCGCGAGCAATTTGCTCTGTTGTTGTCTCACTAACGATAAGAATTGTAATAAAGCCTTAGCTGACTGAGGAACACCATAATCCGGCCACGCTGTGTACAGCATATGGCAAACCTCTCGCGTCTCATCAGTCTGGAATGAAGAAGAGGGATACGGATGTGAGCAAAAAACGGAACGTGTTGTGACGTCGAAGAAAAATTCGAGGTGAATGTCTACCTTATTGTTTGTAAGGAGAAGCATGGATATTGTGTAGTCGGGATTCGTATCGACCTCGAGAGTGGTGACGGTGAAGCCACCCGCTTGCACATCATCGCCAGGTTCTGGACCCCAGTACTGCGCACACTTCGTACGGCCTCGTTCTACCACTCTGGAACGACAAGGGCGACATGTTCGATTATTATCTTAACTCTACCATTAGTCCGGATAAGTGTTGCAAGCTTTGAATCTTTTGCTCTCAGCAAATAAAACGTAACGCAATTTTCGACAAAAGGCGTTTCCCGAGTTCCTAAAAGTTGCGAAAATGCTTAAATCTTAGGAAATGCAACGTCTGGCAGTGCCTTTTGCCAGAAATTACGTTAAATTTTACTGCTTGCAGCAAAAGGCTAAAAGCTTACTTACACCTATTGTAGATCCGGACTTGTAACTAGAGTTACTTCTGCGCTTTTCATCCTTATGCATTATGTATAAGGCTGAAAGTCGCATAACTCTCCGTCTGGGGGACGGTACAGCATACATGATGCTGACCGCAGCAAAGGACGCACGAGCGAAATTTAGAAAATAGCTTACCTCGTTGTCATGACGACGACCAGCGTCTGCTGTTCCCAGACCATTCTCCAGAAATCACCGCAGGTTTTCGGGAGAGGACCCTGAGTACTGATAAACGCATTCTTCTGCTTGTAGCCGTCGACGAAATTCGCGTTTATGTAATCGGACGTAGCGTCCCCGTCCACTTGCGAGAGGCAGACTCTGGTGTGGTCGTAGCAAAGCACGTCGGTGTAGCGATTCTTTGATTGGTTAGACTTTAACCTGGAACATGGGACGATACGAGAGTGTATTGATCAACATCGCCAAGCGCGTTTACGTTTGAAAACAATCACGCGAGAACGCCGATCACTCGCGACACGTACTTTGCATTATTAAATTGACCATCTGGCGGTCTCTGTCTAATCTCCGCGTATTCCGCTATGAGGCCAGCGCGTCCTCTCGAATGTATGTCGGCTATAAACTGCTCCATGGTGACAGCCTGAAGCCCGAGATCCCCGTGGAGGCTGTCGTCGTCGCTGAAGCCGGAACTCGCCGAGGACGGAGGCTGTACCGGGGAGGGCGCCTCGTCGGTGCCCATCCAGACATCGCCGTTCGCGGTGATCTCGATGTCGCCGATGTTCGACACGCCATTCTTCACCTTGTTCTTATCGATTATAGGACTAGTCGAGTTACTGTGCGTAGTCCCATTGGGATTCTGAAGAACTGTGTGATTCTTCGCCGTGGGCGAGACAGGTGTACCCACTCTCGGGGTGACCTGAATGACATAACACGCATATTAGGCGACAGTCTTGGCGAACAGTGTTCGCAGATGTTTCATTCCGACGAACGGAATCCCATCGGAATAAAACCTTTCGCCGTACGTTGCGTGTCGCTGGTCGTATCGTCAAACTGGACAACATCGCGATTATTATACTGACCTCGCACAGTTCACCCCCTCCTCGGTTTGTCATGGATTTAAGACAATGGAGTAGCCATGCTTCATGCTGTACCTCCAACGTGCCGCCTAAACGATGTGGCAATGATTCCCGGGGGATATGTAACGTCAGCTGGGGGATAGACACGGTGAACACTCTGTCCCTCAGTTTTTCACGAACGAACAATCGGAGGATCTTGAAGGGCGCTTTGAACCAAAGCGGCGCCGTTACTATCAACACCTTCTTTAGTTTCGCCGGATAACCGCCCTGGAACAGTCCGCACAAGCATAATTAATTCGTCTGAGCAATGTCACAAGAAGGATCTAATATTAACATGCGTTACGCTACATCACGCGTGTGCGCAAAATATAATTTCCCCTCTGCAATAAACCATGTAAAAAGAAAACCACGAAGAATATCGTGTATGTGAGAATAACAAATATCCTCTCGCAATTAGAGGAATTTTACGAAATATCCCTTCGATTCGCCGGTGAACGCATTGCCGAGCAGTTACGCTAACGCGAGCCGCGTTACCGCATGAATAATCTTCAAGAGTGCGGTTGACCTTTCAAAGACGTCGCAATAATAGAACAGCCCATATACTGCATATTAGCGGATTGACGTGGCCAACCGTAGGCCACGTACTCGACGCGGAGGCGCGTCTCCGGATCGCGCCTATCTATTTACCGTGGGATCGGGGCACTCCGGAAAATCTCCTATCTCCTCCCCGTCGACAACGTCACACCTCTCGCCCGTTAATCTACCCGACATCAGCGCCTAATCAGCCCCCCGACGTGACGTGAAGCAGCGCGAGGAGGGTCTCGCGAATCCGAACGAACAAGCTTCTCCGCCGAGAACGAGAGACTCGAGGATCGAGCGGCTACCGCGGGTGACTCGCAACTGTGCCTCGTAGCAGCGCGGCAAGCCGAGTAACTCTTTTTCAACCCCCTGGCTGCGGGCTAGAGGGCGGAAGTACCGTAACGCCAACGACGTCAGCACCACCACCACCACCGCCGCCGCCGCCAGCATCATCACCAGCCACGACTATCGCCGTCAGCGATAATACGTAACAGCCGCTACGTATACACAAACGTCATCAGCGACGGAGGGTTAACGAGGGCGACAGGCGGAGCACACTGACGATTTTCTTCCGGCCGAAGAGACCTCAGTTCCGCAAGAAACGCGCCGTATATATTTTAGGAACGCACGAGCCGAGCAAATATAACTCTCGGGATTAGCCGAGTCGAGCGTGACGTTTCTCCCGACGATGACTACCACCACCACCACCGCTGCTATTACTATCCGCTCCTCCACGTCGAGAGCTATCTCTACGCGAAAAAACCAAGAGCCATCGGCCGACCGATACTTCGCTCCCTCGTTCGCTCATTCGCTCATCCGATCGATCGATCGACCTGACTTCGGAGATTTACCGTGTGCCGCAGCGGTGGTCGCACGCAGAAGGCGCGATCTCAGGCATATCAATCGCGGGGTCGCCGCCGCGCCGACATCAATGGGACGGCAGCGACGGGCAGAATCTCCGTTGAGTTAGCGCCGACTCGTCATAGGATAATCGGGGCACACGACGATGCCCAGCAGGCCGGAACACGAGAGCGGGCTGCTGCTCCCGGTGGTAGGCGAAATCACAGCCGGCACGCTCGGTCAGTTAATCGATAACGCGAGATTAGTATAACCGCGGACGAAACGGCGCGCACTTGTCAGCGAGGTCAACTGACGAACGACCTGTTCGTCGTCGTCGAGGTGAAGAGAAAAAGAAAGAGGGAGAGAGAAAGAAGGAGGGAAGGAGAGGAAGAGAGACTACGACGTCGTGGCCGTCGCTCGGTGTAGAAAAATGCTGGCCTCGCACGCGAACAAGGACGCGATCGAACGGGCGCGGAGGGGAGCCGAGCGGGGGAATCGGGTCGTACCGTATCCGAATGCGACGACGACGGTGCCGCAAGGGGGTCACGATGATTACTGACCGCCAGCGTCGCGACGTTATCCGGAGCGGGGACGCATGCGCCGCGGCTCCTCTACTACACGCGACCCCTTCTTTTCACCACCGCCGCCGACATCCCTTACGCGAAATTCCTTTTTTACTGCCGGCAGCGAGGTGCAGCAACCGTATACGTGCTGACGTATTGCCCGCCAGTGTCTCTCAACCCCGCGGCCCTCCGCCCGCCCGTCCACCCGCCGCTCGCGTTCCCGATAATGCTTGTTCCACTTTCGGATCTCCCGACGACTCGCGGAACTCGCCGACGCTCCCGGTATAATTGATCAGTTAACGCCGGCGCTAATTACGGAGAGGGAGAGACAGAGAGGTCTATCCGCAGATCGGATCCCGCGAACTCGCGTAATTATTCGCCTATTAATATTCACGGCGCGAATTGCCGTCAGAAAGAGACGGAGCAGCGATCTTCGATCCCGGCCGGGATCGCGGGAATAAACAAACGCCGATGTTCTCGCGTCTCTCTCTCTCTTTCTGACATAGTCGCACGCTGTATCATTCCCGGGACCGAAAATTACACGATTTTCGAGTTTACACATGTGAAAAAAAATTAGACTTAAAATGTCTCCTTCTTTGAATTACGGTGACCGTCGATCTTGTCAATTTAACCGCTTTTTTCTCAGAGTAGAGTCGATATAACCCTATTGTTATAATTAGAGTTACTTGTGCGATTTTTAACCTTGCGGGTTATGCAAATCGTGTAATTCCCCGTCTAGACAATGATACAGTACATAGTATATACATAGAAAGATACATATTCTGCATTCAAATAAATATTATGTGCTTCAAATATTTCATAAGTTTATACATCCGCAATATATATTATAAGTTCGTATCACAAGTATCAAATTTATTCAAAATATATTCTGAATCTTAGTTTAAGTTTAATGCTTCAATCATGAATATTACATCAAAATTAACTTCAGCTTGCGAATTTAACTTTTCTTCGACAAAGTTTGCAAATATTCTTGGAAAGCAAGTAAATTCCTTTTTTGAATACGCGATAACGAGCTTTTCTAAAATTTCTTATGAGTTTATTATTAGGAAAATACTTTTCGTTGCAGATAACTATTATTCGATAAAAGAAAAAAAGTAAACCGTGTAATCGCATTTCTCAGCAGCAGAATAACATTTCTTCCCGTGTACATGACACCGACCGTATTTGTTTTTTACACAATTTGCGAAGTTCAATTTGAGAAACGGACTCTGCTCGACAGTCGCAAGGGTGAAGTTGCGAATGCAAAAGGTGGCGCGACTCCGTGTGTGCGTTTGATAACACAAGGTACGATCGAATTTGATTATTAATTACGCGCTACGGCGGAGAACAATTTGCGCTGATAATGACGCGCGTGTAAATGTCACTGCGCACCGGAACCTTTATAAAAGTCAGCCAGCACCGTGGAATCACGGTTCGCCAGGCGATTAAGGACCCGATTGCGTAGCACGTGACGGTCTTTCACACCTTCACGCTTTTCCGATAATATCGAGCGACGATAATATCTCTTTCGGAGAAAGGAGAGAAAAAAAATACCAAGTATGAAAGAAGTCTGCGCAGTGACCGCCTTCGCGTGTTATTATTTAACGTCTTTAATGAATGCGCTAGAAATACGAGCGTGTACGAGCGTGTGTACACGTGTACTCCCTCTGTGACGTGGCACCACGGAGGAAGTTCCTAGGAAACCTTTGAAAGTCACCCTACACGCCGTACTTTGATGCGCTCTGTCGCGTAATTGCAAGGTACTTTTCGCGAAGCATGAACACCCTTAAGCCTCGCCCCTGCTCTTTGAGCTGCATCCCCCGTGCGCTAAAAGCTGACTCGGATTTTGCGGTCGGTTCGTCGAGGAGAGTCTCCAAAAATTTCACCGTACAGCGAAGCGAATAATTCAANGAGAGAGAGAGAGAGAGAGAGAGAGAGAGAGAGAGAGAGAGGGAGGGAGAGAAAGAAAGAGAAATAAAAGCGTTTATTGAACATTCCAGGGCAAGCCCTCTAAGAACGCTTACATTCTGAGCGATTTCCAAACAACGGAAAGAAAAGACAGGTGCAAAACAAAAGCGGAAAAAGCAGAAGGTATAAAAATTAAAAAGAGGAAAGTGTATGATAATAATGAAATAAAAAAGGAAAATAATATGTATGTACAGACAGGAGAGGGGGGAGAGAAAGAATAGATGACGTGTAAATTTAGATGAGAGAATTTCCGGCAAGAAAAGTCTTTCACGTGAAGAGCGAGCGTCTCTTTGCTCTTGAAAAACGACCAACTGTTGTATCACTTGACCATCGTTGAAAGAAAAATTGCATGCCACGGACCGATCGGAGCGGAAAGACGTCGCAGATATATTCAAATGACGACGACATCGAAGCGCGCTGCATTCGGCAGACTAGGAGAGAAGGTCGGATACACCGCGGTATGACACCATTTTTTAAGTAAGTGGGCTGACCGCATCAAACCATTAATGCACGGAGACTATTTCGACCGGCGATGACTAATTGGGTTAACTTCACAGCGACGGTAATAACTGTAATGCCGCCGCTCTGCTCGGCAGCCGGACGAAATTGCACACAACGTGAATGTTAATCGGACCACGCATTTAGACGTCGGCTAAGAGCACTCTGTGTGTGCTCCCGGTAATTCGCATGATTACTGTACGCCGCTGTCCGGAGAAATTCAGTAGGGCTGCGACACTTTTTTTTATGCAAAGGTTTTCGAACGTATCCCATGTCCGATAGGGAAATTTGTTTCCTAGCAATTCTCAGAAAATGTATTTTCCTATTGAATACCAGACGCGTTGCGAAACTCATCGAAGAAAAAGTGTTGCAATCTTTATGTGACTGGCCATGAATAAATGACCGTGAATAAATAATGTTTTATATCGCGACCAACGATTCGACTATTTTGCATGCTCCAACTCGGGACTCGAACGAGTCGCACTCAACGACTCTCTTTTATGCGTCAGACGACGTTCACAGAGAATATCTCCGTCACACTAGCGGCGTTAGAGAGACGAGACCGTATATCGCGGTACATAATGGATATTCGCCGCAGGAGTCGCTCTTTTCTCGCTCTACCACGATCTTTTCCCGCTTTCTAACCCCGCTCAGCGGCAGTGCTATGCTCGACTCCGCTCCGCTTCGACGAGCGCAAATCGTTATATGCTGTGTGCTTTAATAGTGTCGCATTCGAAAAGTATTACGAACATCTCGAGAGAAAACGACGTGGAAATCGACGTGACGGGATGCGCCGAGAAAATCCGGTCGTTTCGATCTAATCCGATATAATACGACGTGTCTGAAAGGCACAAAAAAGGAGGAAGCGCGACGTTGTTGCGTAGCGATTTTCCAACGGGAAGTGGAGAAATTCTTAACATATATGTGTTATCTCCTCCACGAGAGAATAAGCGGAAATAAATTTCGCGCTTCTCGATCATTTAGGTAACTCGCGTATCATCACATCCTTCGCAAAACGCCAGGCACGAGACAGCTCTGCGTGTACGTTCTAGGTGTGCATTTCTAATAGGAAGACACTTTTCGGCCTCCTCCAGTATTATAATTTTTCCCCGTGATGATCTTAACCTACGCTAACATTCACAATATATTCGTGAACTTACCTTCAAAAGTGTCAGAATTTTTTGAGACAGGTCGTAGTCAAAATTCTGGTACTTGCTGTCAGACATATCATAAATAAAAACTAGACCATGCTTCTGGGTTTCCGCGCTTTCGAGAGCAGCATCCAATTGGTACACCACACCCTGAAAAAGACAAAACGAGGGTACATTATTCATCGTCATGTTACAAACTTTGTTCAGCTTTATTTTATCATCTCATAGAATAGAATCGAGACGATCGAATGAATTCACTCGAAGAAGAAACTTATAAGATACACGTCTCTCCTCTTCATCTAATCGTTAAGAGTACAGCTTTGCACAACTTACCTGCAGGGTTGTTTGGTGTGTCGTGTTTTGTGGAAGATGTAAGTGCGCTGTAAAAATAGCTATTGCTGCACCTGTTGCGTCTCTTGATGGCTGAAACAATTCATTCACAAGTTAATTCGGGCTGTACACTTGTGACGACGAGTGAGTGGACGCGCTCTTCGTAATTGGCTCCCTTCGTAATTGTCTCACTCACCAGAACAGTAAATTTTCCTGTGCGTAATTCGCTGAGTAAAGGTTCCTGAGTAGGATGCAAGACTGCCAGTCCCTCTCTTCTCCTGGTGGCTTCGTGCTGCTCGTACAGAGCTAAAGCACGCTGGACCTCGAATTTCCGCGCCGCCAAGAATTTCACCGCCGTGCTCCAGGAAACTGGGCCGGCTCGTCTTCCGGCTCTGCACTTATTCACGGCTTCTATAAATTCCTTCGTGGCCTGAAAAGAAAGAAAAGGGCAGAGCTTTACGTAGAATAAATTTGTTTAACCGGCCGCGCGCGCGTACGGTTTCCGAGAAGAGCGATTTTAGATATGGAAACACGTTCGTGCGTCTATTCGCCTATCGGTATCGACGTTTCCGTGCATCCATTGGCTCGTAAGACACTTGGTATGCGTGATCTCCAGATTTGCTTACATAACAATGTAAACGCGCATAACGACGAATAGAATCTGTTTGCATTGCAAGCAGGGTGTTCCAGGAGAGACGGGGAGAAGTCAATATTTTGGCCAGCGATAGGATCCTGCATAGCCAACCTTGAAAACGGTGCTAGGGGCGCCCCGCTTCGCGTTGGGGGCGAGTGAGCAGGAAACGGCGAATTACAATCTTTATCAGCGCGACCCGATCGATGCGAGGCGCAACATCTACATGTCTCTCGGTTATTCGTCGTCTCATTACATATTATCATAGTCCACGCGTAACCTCGTTGCGAAAGAAAGAAAAGAAGAAAGGGGAGAAGAAAAGAAAACGGTAGGAAGAACTCGTCCCGTGGGGACTGTAAAAGTGGTTTACCGTCCGGGTTGAAAATTTCCATGATACCGACACGTGGAAGCGATCTCCGTCGCATAGTTCTGTGCGCGACAATTGTCTGCGCGATGTGACACGAGTTGTATTTCCTGCGACGTGACATCGCTCGGGGATTCACCCAGCTCGAGGGAAAATCACACCGCGTATCGAGCGAAGAAAGTATCGAGATTACGAGCCGCTAAGAGGCACCGGGGGACGGAAGAGGACGGGACGACTCCGCTCTCGTGTAATTGCCGATACCGCGTCCGTCGTAACGGACAACGACGTATCATTTTTGCACTATTAAAACGTGCAATGACCGTGGACAGTGTATATGTACGTACACGCGTCGCCTATACCGATATAACTTCCGGTGTCCGGCTACCTCCCCACCGGCCATTTCCGCTATAGCGCACAGCCGGCGGGGGCAGCCGGGCAGCGCGCGGCGAAGCGGTATAGGTCGGACGTGTGCACACACCAGCGAAAGAACGAGACGGAGAGGGAGCGCCGAGGAGGAATTCAATACCACAAAACCGATATGCACTTCTGCCGCGGCTCGCTGTTACGCGCGAATCGCTCGCGTTCGCCGTATAATGAGGCACGAACGACGCGAATAATAAACGGTGTCTATTTCGCGAACGCGCTATTGCACCGATACGGTGAAAGATACGGACAGAGAGATTGATAACGGAGTTTAACCCCCCCCCCCCCTCGCCCCCTGAACACGGGAAAACTATCTATCGCGATAAAGATGTGAGAAAGAGTAGAAAGGGAGGGAGGAAAGAAAATTGGACGGAACCCGCTCGTTCGATTCTTCCTTTTTCCCGCGATGAGGAAGAGAGAAAAAAAAGATCGATCCCCGGGCCGTTTCAGACTGCTTAGAAGAGAATTAATATCGAACGCGGTTGAACGAACTTACTGAACGTTAATGACTGCGTGTAATAACCGGGGGAAGAGACGACCAAGAGACGCCTACTAATCGGTGTTAATTAATCAAGGCTGCAACCGACTATTAACGTGAGATGATACGCGCGCACAGAAAGACAGAGAGAGACGGAAGGGGGGGGGGGGGCAACTACTTTTATTATATCACGATGATTACTTATCTCCGCGTAACGCGAACGAGGACTCGCTAAAAATACACGTGCCCGCTCAGTTTCCCGGCAAACGGAAATTTAATACCGCGAATAGATAACGTGGGAAAATCTCGTTAAAAGACAAATCCGTCGAATCGAGGGCTCCCGTCGCGCCGGCGGAGCTGGTGCACGTACACGGAATTAATATCCGCGTATCGACGCCGTCATCGGCTGGTTAAACAGCCTCGGTCGTTGTGATTGTAAACGCGTCCAGCCGCGCGCGCGCGCCCGTGATAATTGCCACGGCGGCGGCGGCGCGTCGCGACTTCCGAAACTTCAATTAAAGGCGAATCGAACAAGCGATTTCCGTGGATGCTCCGCCGAGTTTATCAATTAACGACGCGCGCGCTCATTCGGCGCATCAAACAGGAGAGCAGCACGACGTTCTTCCCTATCGCGAGACACGACGACGAGCATTTCCATCTGGTCGGGCGAATGCTCTTCTTTTTTTTTCTCACTCTGATCGATGACGTATAAATATCCCCGATGCGACATTTCGACGGGCGCGCTCGCAGGACAGATTCCACAAAGAGCGGCGATTGAATTTCCGCGCAAGTTGCAACGTTCGTTCAACGGTATAATTAAAGGGGATCCTCATCGCATCGTTTATTCACCGCGTTATTTATAAACGTTGTTCGCGTATTCTGACCGCACCCTACGATTGAAACGACTCACCGGGTATGCATTACATCGACGTGAATTTTTAAGCGGCGGAAGGCAAGAGAGAGAAAGAAAAGCCGCGAATAGCGTGTATCGCGCCGGCACCATACTCCTATCGACTTTATCCCGCGCGCGTTCGATAGCGCGGGTTTAAAATAGTCGAAATTTCTCAATAGACGCGCGCGCGGCCGAGTTCCCCGAAGGAAAGAACCGGCAGCCGGAAACACGGCTCATTATTAAAGCCGCGTCGCGTTAAAACGTTCGGATTTCCGGCCACCGGTAATTGCCGGCCGTGTCGTCTCGATTATCGAGACGATAAGAAGAGCCAGAGAAAGAGAGACTCGGCTCGCTCGCAACATCGAATGATGACGATTTCCGCAGCGTGTTTACAATCGCTATCATCACCCCGATGAAACTTTCGCGAGATAACGCGCGAACGGTGTTTACGTTTTCGATCTCGCTATCTCGGAAGCCGATTCCTCCGCGCACGGGGTCGAAAACACCGCGTGACGCCGCGAGCGAGCGATAAAAAAAAAAGTTGCCGCAAGTTCGATCGTCATTTGACGCTACAGGTATTCTTACCCCGTGGGGAGAGGGGAGACGCGATTCGTCTCGCAGCGCGTTCCCGTTGTGTCGCGAGTAAACACGGAGATGATTTTCGCGGTTGTCGTTCGACGGAGACGACCCGTATTCTCTCTCTCTCTCTCTCTCTTTCTCTCTCTTGGGAACGCGCCTCCGGCGTCGCCGTCCACCTCGACCCGTGGCCGTGGCCTCGATCCGCGCGAGAGAGCCCGCCCGGGCGTACAGCGTGCGCTTGACAGAAAGGAAAAAAAAACTACTCACTTGCTCCTGCTCGACGGTTAACGTGGCTGCCATTTTGGCTCAAACGCACTGTGACATGCCCGAGATGTGCGTTTAAGCAAGGAGGCGAGCAGCGCGCTCGGGAGCGAGGAACTCGCTTTACTTCCAGTCCCGGTGCCGCGAGAATCCCACGCTCACGAGAGCGATCATTGCGTCGTTGTCGTCCCAGACTCTCCTCCTAGCACGGCTGAATCTCGCGCACGACGCACCGATCCTTACAGAGCACGGCCACCGACTGCGACGGTGACGGTAGCGGGGAACGGTAGATCATCCCGGCGATGCTCGCTCATCGTCGCACCGTCTCGCACGCACCCGAGCACGATTGTGACACGCTTCGCTCGATCGTCTTCCCTGCGGATGCTCGCGCAGCCATCTTGAAAGCGCGCGCAGCAGCGGGAGACGTGCATGGCGCCGCTGCGCGCGCAACTCGCCGGGAATTTGGAAACGCGTCGGCCGATCGGCTCTTGATTCGATTCTCGTTGATCTCTCTTCGAGATCGATAAACGATGATTATGGGACGGTCCTTGATTGTGATATCGGTTAATGGCCAATGGCTACGCATTCAGCGGAGAAAGTAGCTCAGTGATTGTTGTTTGCGACTGAAGCATTCTTTCGGATTCTTGAAGAATCCGAGAATATGCACCAATCGGGAACTCTTTTCGCTGAATCAGCCGATGATGCCTGAACTTTCGATGATCGATACGAGTGTGTATCAGAAAAGTCACGTGGAGAATATTACGTGTGAGAAAAATACTTGGCCGGCGCGGTGAAGAACGAGGTAACAAAGAATACGAGAAGAGCAATGAGAAATGTTGAGGCTAATTGCAAGGTACAGGAAGTGTGGCATAAGAGCCTAGTGTTCACATCTCCACTGACAGATGGCGCGCGAGTATGCTCCTTGGTGTCTCGTTTGTCGATACTCCCGACTTTAAAAATGCTTTTAGGTTATACCGATAACTTGACATGTTATTGAGTCGCAGCGTGACCCGGGGGAAAACGTGTCTTCAATTTGAAGCAATTAGCTTACTGGTTACAGAAAATATTGAGATCACTTCCCGAAAATATTGAAAGCAACTTATTGAAAGCATGCCTCGACGTTGCCAGGCTATAATCGACAGTGCAGGAAAAACTGGACATCATATTAGGTAAACGCATTTTAGTTTAAAGTTTATAGAACGAGACTATGTATTTGATTTTCATCAATCTTTTTTTTTCTTCAGGTGACACAAGCAGTACGCTCTTGTGCCACTTACTGTACAAGCCTGAAACATCCTTGAGGAATATTTTCAAATATAAACAGATAATGTGCGTGCGCATGTATGCTAAGACAAATATCTCTTAGAACGTGTATATCTAATTGAAGATACGCAACTAATTTTATCTTTTTTTTTTCAGGAAACTTAGAAAAGTTTCTGATATTTCTGACCGATAAAGATCAACTTGAAAGGATGCTACAACCATTTCAAACTTAAAAATGTATTATATCCGTATTATTGTGTAATGTATGATATTAACGATCGCAATATATGAATGAATATTTCTCCTAAATTCTAGAAAGTTAAGAATTCCACTCTCAATATTACCAGTCGATAATCTGACTATTATCTTTAACGCCAATATCTTTTTCCGCGAATATAACATCGAGATTCATCTCTTACTTTAATACGCGACGTAAGATCCAACTGAATTCCGTCATTGAGGAAAATAAGCATATTTATCCAACTGCTTTCTCGAAATGAGGATGCTTGTATAATTAAATATCCGATTGCTTGTCTTGACGAACGAGGAAAGTGCGGTCACACTTCCTTGATGTAACGTGCAACAAATTGTTATACCTTCAACGACGATTACTGTCGGACGTATAATTTTTAAGCACAGACATCCTTTTTCTTCCACAAAAACAGATTGAATCTCAATGGACAGCTCTTGCACCGTGTCGCAAATTATAAGACGTGTTTTAGAAAGAGGAGCAGGGTCGCGAATTTGGGCGTAAACTGTGCGAGGCGTTCGCTGGTAGTTCGCATTTATTAAACAGAGAGGACCGAGTAAGTTTTTCCCGTAACAAAACTGTCGAGACAATAGTTTTTGCTACAACTGGTCAAAATAGCAATTTGGACGAAATTGAGCGTTGAGAGGTGAAGAAGAGACGCACTTGAAGCGCGACTTGTGGCGCGGCTCCTATCACTTTCCAGTTAATCTCTAGTGAACATTGAAATCTCGAGAGCCGAGAATTAATCACATATACACGGCGGAACGTTTAAGATCGTCTAGACAATCTCCCCTCCAAGGGAGTCGACGTCCGTCCAATTGTATTTTGACGAAGAGAGAATCACTTGGTTGGACAGTGTGTATGTGTGTGTGTGTCGCCCCCGAAGAAAAAAAATATATAAGCGCGGGACAGCAATGCGCGCGACGTAAATCTAAAAGATTCTCCGACGTTCCTTTTCTACTCGGAGGGTTGAGAGAGACGCAACAATGATCCAACACCGGGGCGCTTCGTAATATAAACATTTTTCTTATTCAAACGTATGTTCTTACATTTACACAGTACAAAAAATTATACTCAGACCTGCCGGCCCGCGGTTCATAACTGCTATGACTGGGGGCGGCCGGTACTTGTGGGAGGGGGGATAGCGCGGGACTTCTTATTTTCTTTCTTTCTTTTTCCCTTCATCCTTTTTTTCCAGGGGGTGGATGTCTCTCGTGGGGATTCTCGTAAGATCTGTACATTGTTTTTTTTTATACTATCCGTTCCACTCCGCCCCCAATACACGGCCCCTTGTGTTCTCACGTGCGTACTTTTTCGCATTTTCACTGGATTGCCCACGCACACGTACGGTTTTTCTTTCTCCTCTCTTTCACTCGCGACACACATGCAACACGCACGCACGCATACAAACCGTCTTCCTCTCTCTTTCTCTCTCTCTCTCTCTCTTTCCTTCTTTCTCGCGACTTCAAGCATCGTTTTAACTCACCCACAATTTTTTTCTTTTTAATCATTTACACTCGCAGCTCGTGCTACTCTTCGCTCTCGCTAGTTCGCTCGCTTACTCTCTCTCTCTCTTTCTCTCTCTCTCTCTCTCTCTCTCTCTCGCGTTTTCTCTCTCTCGGCATATTTAGCAACATTTAAATATCGTATTTTCCGTAATAATTAATCGTAATAATGATAATAATATAATAATAATAATGGCATAATAAACTATCTACCTACGCGTGTAAAGTGGTATTTTTCCATGGTTTCGTAAAGGGGTGTGTACTGCTTATCATCATAATCCTAGACTTCCCTCTTTCGTATTTATATATGTATATATATACGGATGTATAAATGTATTATGTACATACACATAGCAATAGAGAACAAACAATAGCTTCTCGTTTGCAGCAATAATACACAGAAATATGTCTTCCTAGAGAACTTTATACACCGCCGTCCGTGGAGTAATAACGGTACTTCTTCCTTCTTCTTCTTTTTTTTTGTTGCTTGTTATGTTTGTTGTTTGTTGTTGTTATACAATTTCCATAATCGTTAACGCGCGCGCGTACTTATCAACACTAAGATATTTTAAAAATGTATTCGTTAAATATTATTTTAATCAAGTCGTTGTATGCTAGACGAATGTTGAGATCAAAGAAATTGCGGATTTCAGGATGCCAGTGATTTCTAACTCTTTTTCTTTTCCCCTCGTTTCGGTTCGTCCGTTCATCCATTTGCTTTTTTTCCCGATATTTTCTTTCGTTTACGTGTGTCATCATCGGTGTCGATGATTGTTATAACCAGCCGTAATATAATCGACGATCGAGCGGCGCGTAGAATGGCGCAAAACGACGCTAAGTAGATACGCCCGATTCGAGAGCTGCTGTTTCTCAGGTTTGCTAAAAGAAGAAAGGAAATCACGAACGCAAAAGTCGGAAAGAATCTCTAGTAGTTACGCTCGCTTGTTTGCGCTTGCTTGCTTGCTTGAGCAATGTCTATCGAACGAAGAATCTTGCGAGATAAAGAAACGAAGATAACGGAAGTTACTACAGCAGTTTTCGAATCGCGAGACAAATGACAGTGCGGCGGGTAGAGCGCGGCGACTTCGTGTTCGCGCGAACTGTCGAATGATAGGAACTCGGCCTGTCATCTCTGCGGATTCGGTGTGTGACTAATGGTTTTTCCCTCTTTTTCCTCTTTTCCCTTTCCTCATTTTTTTTTCTACCTACGCATATACGATACATAACGCGTGCACACTTAAATGTCCCACGTCGTTCAACATTGGCACTTCGAAAGTCGTTACGCTTCTTTTTTTACTCTCTTTGCGCTCTTCCTTCCTCTTTCTTTTCTCGTTCTCTCTCTCTCTCTTTCTTTTTAAAATAACATTACTGCATAATTTTATTCCTATCAGTTAACGTCTCATTACGATACAATTAGAAGATTATCGCTGTCTTTTCGTTTCTTCTTTTCTCTCCCTTTCGTGTCAGGTTTTTATAGACGGTTCGCGTGATTTGACAAAAATAACAGATTTATCTTATTAATTATACACTCCCGTTACACGACGGGTTGCGATACACCGGGTTCGAAGAGTTAATATCGAAGGAGTTGTAATTTTGTTTTTTTTTCTTTTTCTTTTTTTGTTACGTTCTGATGCCTTATATAATCGAAGTGACAGTCATACAAAACTTGTACCACCCCGCCGATACTCATAGCCGATACATATAGCTCGCCGTGGAAAAGCAATTACAACAACTCTGAACAACAAGCTCGTCGAGCTACGAGCGATTATTTGTTAAAATGATTATGAGAGAAGATCTGTGTCTCTTCCCATTGTCGTCGAACTAATCAGTTAGGCAGTGTTTTTCGCTTTCATCGCTTACGCCATTGTTACGTGGAACATAAGAACCTAACGCAAATACGTATCGACTATCTCTAGCGGGGCTACGTTCGAGATACACCAGAGAAAGCACCAGACCACCAGAGCACACGATTAATGGATCCAATATTTATCACTGATCCAGCTAAATTGTTCAACCATCTAATTGCACAAAGGTACTCCTAGACAACCGTCTCGCATAGTTGCTAGCAAAAATTCATTCAGTACACAGTATGTGTGTGTATATATATGTGTGTGTGTTTATATATAATATATATAATATGTATACACACACATATATATACATGTGTGTGTGTATATATATATATATATATGTTTAATTATCTACATTTATATAATATAGACAGTGTGTATGTGTGTGTGTGTGTGTGTGTGTCGGATACAGGCACGATATAATTAATTACAAATAACGTACGATCCACAAAGTCCTCCTTGTATCACAATAGTAAATGGACGCGGCGTTTACTTATCGCGCGATCCGGCCCACAAATCTTTCCTCCTCCCCTTTTCCTCATCTCTCACATATCTCATATAGCTCGTCGGACTTCATGTCCGCGGGCGGCCTTTTGCCCGTGAAACGGGAGAGCAAAAAACGGACTCTGCGCGAGAGACGGTCCGAAAAAAAAAAAAATAAACAAAAAGGAAAAAAAAACAAACAACCAAATACTGGCTCAGGCGATATCGCAAATTATAACATTTTTTTCCCCCAAAACGGTTTCTGGTCAAATATCACAACAAATTCTTTACCTCAACGACGCACCTCCGCGAGATGATTTCTTCGCGGAGGGGAAGGAGGGGTCGTCTTCTGCAGTTTCTCCCGGTTATTCTTGCCAGCAAGATTCTCCGCTGTTTAGGAGCGCCGAGGAGCGCGGCAACGGGATGTCATCGGTTTCGTCGCGGCAACGACGAAATTTATTCCATAGATCATCATCCACGGGTCTTACCGTATTGCGGGGGCCTAGGGCTACGTTTCCTCTTTTATCTTCGTATCGTTGAGCTTGGTGAGGGTCTCTTCCTTGACATTCGCTAAGACGGTCAGCGAATCCTTCACCGCGTGGTATATGATGTTCTTGATCTGCAGCTTGTCCTCGTGATTGGTGTGCGTGTCGGATAACGCGCGGAACTCCTGAGTCAGGTGGAAGCAATGCGAGACATTCTCCGGCGACACGAAATCCTCGGCCACCTTGATGCAATTGTGAAGATTGCGAACCTGATGCGGCGCGCCAGCCGGCACGAATACCGCGTCGCCTAGGCATTGGACGATGGCGTATCTGCGAAATTGAGAATATTTTTGTTATTAGTCTTGTGTTTATTACATGCAGAATGTTCCCGGTATAAGGAGAACCTCTAAATATCTTTGTTTCTAACGATTGTTTAATGACTGGGATAAATCTGTGTACGATACTACAAAATAATATTTTATCGACAACTTTTCATTCAATCCGCAAATCCGTGTGCATCGCAAGATGATGCTTACCCCTCGACACCGTATTCCCGATACAATCGTTCCCGCAACGGTCCGTCCAGGTAACAACTCTGGTCGTGGATGGGGTCGTGATGTGGTTCCAAGCGAGCGCCGCGTTCCAGAGCAACGGCGTTCAAAAGGTCTCGAATTTTGTCGGCGTCACGCGCCGCGTAAATATGCCACAGCGCGCCGGGCGCCTCGCCGCGGTCGCGAACGCGACGACGCGTCAAAATATCACAGCCTGCTTCATCTATCGCTCTCAACGCCTCTGTAAAAAATTAAGCATTTTGACGATTGACTATTTCGGAAGGTTCCATCGCGACACACCGATAAGAATGCAATACCGAATTGATTGACGTCATTAGCGTGCATATATGGTCGATTAATAGAAATACTAAATATTGAAATATTAGAGGGAAGATAAAGAGAAGTGGGTTTTTAATCTGGCGATGAAATTTCGATTCTTCACATTTTTCATACTTCTGTGACGATGCAAGTAAGTTAATCACGCGTGATTCAAAATGAACGAAAACGCGCGTACCTTTGATGTGTTCGTCACTGTCGGCGTCCTTCGGGATACCCACGTACACCATGACGTTCACGGCATCCGAGATATCCAGATGGAGATTGGTCGTGCCCTTGTTGGGATGAAGCGCGGAACCGTAGGCGTTGTACATTTTCGGTCCCAGGTCCGGTCTCACGAAGCAATTGGGTAATCGGCTCGCTAGATTCAGCCTGCCGTTTCTGTGGGTGTACTCGGACAAGGGTAAGACCTTCATCAAGTCCGTGAACCTCGACGGGAGCAGCTCGGCGAAGTCCTCGCCGGGCGGCCAGTCCTTGAGTTTCAGCAGCATAGGGTTGCCCCGCTCGTCCTTGAGCCGTTTGGAGAAGTGCTCGAATCCCTCCCAGAATTTGCGCATCGGCTGATTCGGCACCAGGTTGCCCGTCATACAGTTGATGAGATCGTTCTTCTCGTCGCCGAAGTCGCGGGCGAACGAGTCCGGGTGCCACAGGCTCATGTCCAGCGCCTTGGAGACGTCCGAGACGATCACCGGCTGGCCGCGCTTCCACTGATCCTGAAATATCCGGTAGTTGTTGGGATTGTTCGGGTCGTTCAGCCTCAGCAGCTTGCCGTCGCAGAGCCACGAGTGCGGCACGTCCGGGTACAGGCTCTTGCTCTCGGTCAGGGTCATGATCCTGATGGGCAACGGCTCGCGGCCCCGCTGCGTCCACTTATAACGTCGCACGAAATGCTTCAACTCCCGCGGCTTCTCGTCGTCCAAGCCGCTGTCCCGCTCTTTCTTCACACTGTGCTCGATCACGCTGGATATCACCTCGTCGAGCGTGTCCATCTTGGACTTCTTGCCGGACTTGGCGACGTTGTTGCCGGCGGCAGTGGCGTTCACGCCGCTCGCGTTGTTCGTGGGCGAATTCGACCTGGACCCGTTGCCGTTCGACGATTTGTACGACGAGCCGACGAGCAGCTCCCGCAACGTCGAGAAGCCCTCTTCGCGATCCTCGTCCGAGTCCGAGTCCGAGCCGCTCTCGTTCTTGTCCTGATTCTGCAGCGCCACGTCGGCCAGCCAGTTCAGCGGCGAGTTCTTGTCCTCGCCGTTGGTCTTGCCCTCCGACGACGCGCCGTTAGACTCGTTCAGCTTCTTCTCTTCCTTCATCTCCTGCTTGACGTTTCCGTTGAGCACCGGCACGGAGTCGCCCTTGATCAGGTTCCGGAGTACCTCGTTCGGCTGCGAGGGCATCGCGAGCGTGCAGGCGCAGTGCTGCGCGATCCCCCATTCCGCGCGACACTCGTGCAAACGTTGGCCGAGCCGCAGCAGACTGTCGCCGGCGATGATCTGCGTCAGCATCAACCGTTCCGGCTCGTGGGCCTGTCTGTTTGTGCACAGCAGCCACGAGAAGTCGTCCCGGTCTTTGCCGCAGTCGCCCCAGATCTTGATCGTTCCGTTCTTGCGTCCCTAAAATATTAATGCGACACCCGCTCCCCGTTAATAAATCTCCCCGGCCTCCGCGGGGAAAGGAGGAGAACGAGAGAATTTCCTTTACACATTGAAAGATGTCAGTGTTAAAAAGCTCGAATAAATATTACTGTGATTCATCACGACGTAACATCTGTTAGTTATTTGTCATCATGTAGTTCCTGGCGTTTAAACTGAAGGAGGGGAGGGGGGGAAGGGGAGTAAGGAGGAAAAAGAATGATGTCGAGCGTGACATCTTACCTTGTAACAATCGATGCAGACGACGAAACCACATTTGCCGCAAGCCCAGTGATAGTTGAACAGCGTAGTCTCACATACGTCGCACATTTCTCGGACACCTTGGATCACTCGTTTCCACGCTACCGTTCCGTCTATAACCCCCGAACTCGCTGTCAAAAGGTACATAACCGATGCGCAAAGCGTTAAAACATGCGAACGAAAAAAAAAAGGGGGAAGGTTACGCAAGCGAACATGCAACCTAGTAACTTGAAAGACAGTACAGAAATACGTAAAAATCCGAGGATCATTAGTTCATTATATTCGGGAATAAATGTAACGCTTCCATAGGTAAACTATCTTCCGGACTGTGCATATTGCAGGTAAAACATTGAGTAGCGATGTAACTGATGTATGAAGAAGATCAAAATGCGTTGAAGGGAACTCGATATTAATTTCTTGGAAGTCAACTTGATGAATGTGATATGTGCGGCACGTGTGCATGTCTCATTGTTTTTCACATATGAAACTCTTGTTAATCAGTGTAGAAGAAAAACGATGGTGAGGGTCAGTTGTGCGACACGTACACGTTTAGAAAAGAAAAAAAAAAGAGAGAGAAAGAGGAAGAACAAAATTTTACCTTCAGCCATGTGTTCTTGGAGCGCGTCTTTCTCCTGATGTAAAAGATCACAGAATTGATCGCCAACCTGCCGAAGAAGCCGATGAGCCGTCTCCAAGTCTAAGTCTTCCCGATCTCCTTTGTCTTTCTCGCTCTTCTCCGATTTCTCGTCTTTCCCCGTTGACTCCTGGTTATCCTTTCCTGGTAACCATAATCGAAGATCTTCCTGTAACATCGTAACGACAGTTTTCACGTGAGAGCATGCATCTTGGAGATCGAAACTCTGTGTGTGTGTGTGTGACGGAAGTAACGTGAAAGAACTGCGTCAAGTGTCAATCAACGATTGGTGGTCTAAACGAAAACACGGGGAATCTCGCATACCTCGGATGCGTCCTTGTGTGGGTCGCTGAATCCCGCTATGGCCAGTTGTCCGTTTTTGGTGTAGCGCAGTCGGCGAAACGCGTAGAATCTGCAGAAGATATTCTGCGGCAAATTCTTGGAGCGCTGGTGCGGCGTCCACCGGCACTCGCGGCATTTCGCCAACTTCGGCGCCACCTCGAAGCAAGCGCCGTCCTGTAGCCAGCTCTCGCCGGTTTTCTTCAGTTGCGATATCGGTGGTTTGCGAAAGGGATCGCCTCGCCCGCCGCTCCCGCCCGGGCCACTGTTGCCGCCGCCCGCGCTGTCGTCCCTGCGTTCCTTCTTCTGACGGGGCTGTTGGTCCTCCCCCCCAACCTCGTTGCCTTTCGTAGTCTTTGGTCTCCTACCGCGTTTCCTAGGCTCCTTGTTATTTCCTGTAAATCAACCAGTGTAACTCAGTTCAACGGTGACCCAAGGCTATCCCCTTCTTTTATATAATCAACGTTATTTAGCGTTAAAAAGCTCATAATGCAGTTGTATATCACAGTTATCAATTGCCATATAAAGTTTCATCATAGGTATGTGCATGTTATCTCAAAGATATATGTTTATCTCGCAGGTGAGGAGACGATAATAAGAATCAAGGAACAGAGTGAGTGCGTGACACCGAATCACAAGAAACAATGCGGAGACACAAAGTGGCGAACTCGCGAAAAACATAAGAGACCCGAGGTTTCTCGAATTCTTCCACGTATCTCTCTTTCTCCGTTTCTCCAGCAAAGAACATGCTGGAGCTCCACGTTATTAACAGCTATTCCGATCATTCTCATTCGCTTTTCTTGAGTTCCCGTACACAGCTCTAGAAATGAGTAATTGTACGATCATGGAACACGGACCACTTACCCTGCAAGTGAATAGTTAGTTCACCTGACGGGAAGTCCATTTACAAGAAGCTACGTCAACTAACCGTTTCCCGAGGAATTGTTGGAATTGGCCGTGGTGTGTCGCACCCTCGACGTAGGTTGAATCGAGCTCAGCTGCTCGCTAGTGTCACTGGCAGAGCCTGCCTCGCTCTCATTGCTGGACTCGCTGCCCGCACCAGCTCCGCCACCCTGCTTGTCCTCTTTCCGCCTCCGCTGATCTTCCGCGGCTGTTTGTTGCCTCCGTGCGGCGCCCTTCTTTCGTTTTACCTACCACAGGGCACAGATTATTAAGTAGTCAGGAAGTTCATGCTCTTGCCATATCTACTAGCCAAAAGCTGCTAATCGACCACACTACTACACTTCAGAGCTCTACCACATTCGTGAAATTCAGAGATCTACTGAAACCTAAGCATCGTCAAGGAATTACATAATGCTGTTGGTAGAACGGTCTGGGTGGCTATCGCATGTAGCTTGCACATTCGCATCTATTCTGACTCGCAAGACCAGTTATTCGCAATGCACAACCGTCTTCCAACTTTGTTTTATGCGTGACTTTGAAATTGAGCAGAATTCATTTCTTAATACTCGACTAATACCGAGAATTTAAACAGCTCGTCCTCCGGTACGCTCACTCTTGGAACGTCGCGAGTTTCATGTATCGTATATTGCGTGCGATTCTCGAAATATCCTTTAATGTTCTGCGAAGAAATGATAATATTTGAAAGCAGGCGCAATTATCCGATTTGCCGTGGGACCTCGCGGTCGGAAGTGTACCGTGTAAATTCTCTAACAAAGAGAAGCGTTGAGGTTAGGTTAAGATTTGGGGCGCAAATTCCGCCGGACGCGAGTATCGACTACTTTACCACATTCTCCCATGAAGCAAAACGCAACGCCCGATAGCGACGTGAAACATCCTTCGCGGCAATCGGCTCCATGTGTCGATCAAATTGATACTTTCGGCGACACACAACCGCTCGTATGCACTTGCGAATCGTTCATTACACAATGATTCATACCCGCATTCCGTTGAGAAAATGGCGCGTAGATTATACGCGAGTTCCAGCATCGGTCGATAATCAACCGGCGAATCAGCGTTCGATTATCTCGCAATTGAAGGATTCATTGCGCTTTAATATTCACAAATACGATAATTTGTCAAAATTCAACGTTACGAAATTTCACGGTTAAGAATTTCGACGGACTCTTCTCCTCGCCATTCCGCTTAACACAGACGTCCGTTGAAAAAGTTACTTCCCGATGTACTACGGGATTCAGCCGACATCCAATGACAAACTCGTTTTTGAATATGATTCTCACGACCTCTCTCATTGGATATTAGATGCGTTCGAAAAAGCACCCATATTTTGCTCACATTACTTTGTTCGAATTATTCCGAAGCTTGTTCGAAATTTTACTTTTCCGGTAATATAGTAATAACGAAAGTCGAAGGACTTTGTTACTAACTTTGATTTTTCTCAGAAGCTTGCGAACTGTAAGCTAAAATTGCAACGGGTCTAGTTATAACGGGTCATTTAGCCGAGACTCAAACCACGCGACTACCGGGTCCCTCGCGATTCCACCGGATGGCGCTGGGCCATCCGTCCATTGGTCGCCTTTTTGAAGTCTAGCGAATCAGCTAATATTACATAGTGTAGTTTCAAAGTCTCCGCCATGAGCCGCCATTTGAAAAAGAATCTAGGTCGTAGCGAGAGATTCGACGGAGGACCAGAAGAACCTTTACTACTTTTTGAGTGGTGCATTCGATCATCCAGTCAGTCCAGACATGCTTTCATTTTCAACCGACATTCCACCACAAATTGTAAGATCTTTTGTTTATCAGTTATACAATTTGATCTATATTCTGAACTCACTTTTGTCGATACAAGTGTCTTAAATAGGACTTCTCAACTAATCGGATGATTTCTAAGCCACTTCAGAGACACTTTTATTAATAAAGGCGACTTTCACCAACAACTCCGGTTAAAGTTAACGATCGATCAACGGAATTGACAAATCGCATTGATCAGTTTAACTAATCGACCAGTGCAACTGGACAATTCTGTTGAGTTAATCAGTTAGCTTAGCCGGAGTTGGTGAAAATGGCACTGAAAGAGAGTTAAAAATATGGACCTTTAAGTTATTCACATACATCCACACGCAGTCGTCAAATTAAGGGACAGTTTCTGATAACCTCCTTTAACTTAACTTTTAATCTCGACTAGTTAAGTGTCAACAGTGATTGGTTATTTCTAGTCAATTCTGCTTAACGACAAAAACGCTATTAGTCAACTTCAATGGAATAATCAGCCGATTAAGTTAACCGGAGGTTGTGAAACTAGCCCTAAAGTGATATTTTTTTTTTCGATGAGTTTCGCAACTTCTTTCGTATTCAATAAGAGAATTCGTCTTTTCAGTCATCCTTAGAAAATACATTTTCCTATTGGATACGTTGCGTAGACTCATTGAAAAAGTGTCGCATACTTTAATCTACCGGCTGCGTGTCTACAAATCAACAACTGATCAAACTGACCAGAGATTTGGTAGCACTAAATATCGCCGAATTATTATCGTGAAGTTATATTTCACGTAGTAATAACGTATTCCGAGAATGTCCGTCCGAGTAGCAAGCAAATAAATAAAAGTCTACGACGCGACACAGGCGCTTCAACAAGTGGCGAGAGCTTGCAGCAACAACAACACAACACAGAAAAAGATCTACGACGAACAACCAATATACATATAGATAGATACCTTGGGTGGCTTCCGCTTGGGCGGCGACTTCCTCTCCGGGTCGCTGCTGGACGAGTCCTCCTGCGGAGTCTTGGTGTCCGTGGCATGGCCGTTCAGGGATTCCTTGTTCGCCGGTTTCCGGCCGCTCTTGCCGGTTACTTTGCTCTTGTTGATGCTGTTCACCGCCATACTGCCGATATTGTGAATCGAGTTGACCGCGCTGGGCAGGCACGTGCTCGTCGGCGCGTTATTGGCCGTGTTGGAGGCGCCGCTGGCGGTCTCGCGGTGCTCCTTGCTGTTCAACGGCTGCGACGGCACCTGGGAGATGTTAAGAGGCAAGGTGAGGCAGGAACCGCTGCCGACGATGCCGGTGGTGTCCTCGGTGCCGTCCTCGCCAGAGTGCCTCTGCAACCACGCCTTCTTCAGCTTGTGCACCGGGTAGCTGGTGCTGCTGGGCGGTCTCGGCGCCGGGCTATTGGACTTCTCGCTGTCCGCGGCGCTGGTGCTGACGTTGTTGACTTTGGCGGGGGTGCCAGGCGCGCTGGGCGCCGGACTGGGCGCCGTGGAGGGCGCGGGACTCGGTATGGGCGCCGGACTGGGCACCGCGCTCACCGGCGCGGGGTTGAGCGAGCAGACGCTGCCGGCGCTGGCGGGCCGCACCGAGCCGTCGCCGCTGGAGGTCCTCGGCGCGGGGCTCACCGCCGCCGTCACCGTACGCTCCTGGCTGTTCGGCTGGGCGAGCAACGCCGCGGTGTTGACGACGGTGGTGATCGAGGTGGCGGCCGAGGCGATCAGCGGACTGGGCTCGCTCACCCTGGAGAGCATCGGCGGTCCGACGCACTGCAGGGACAACGGCTGCGGCTCCTCGGTGCGGCGTTTCTTCGACACCTCCAGAGCCACCGGCTGACCGGCGGCGTTGTTGTCGCACAGCAACGGCGTCGGCGCTTTCCTCTTGGGCGAGCCGGACCTCTCGACCCCGAGGTCGAGCGGTTGCGTCTGAAAGGCCGTGTTGATCTGCGGCTGCACGTGCTGCATCGTCTGGCTGGGCTGCTGATGCGGGCTGATGGTGCGATGAACGGGATGAACGATCGGCCTCGGCGCCGAAGCGGCCGTGGGCGGTGAACCGTGCAACGACGGCGGCAGTTTCCCGGCTGGCATCGAGCTGGCGAACGCACTCCGGCTCTCGAAGACGGAACGGCTGTGCGCAGGTGGCGGCAGATGCGACGGCGGCGCCCCGTGATGGTGAGGCACTTGCTGGTAAGGCGAGCTGCCAGCCTTCGAGGTCAACGGTATCGGCGCGGCGACGGCGGGCTCGGACGCCCGGCACACCGGTGTGCCGGTCATGATGCCGGAGTTCGGCTTCCCGTAGAAATGCTGCGGCGCCGGGCTGCTGACCTTCGGCTTGGAACCGGTCGTCGGCGCGGCGTAGTGCGACGTCGGCGAGGCCGTGGGCGGATGCGGATGCGGATACGGGTACGCGGACTTGGTCGGGGCGTACGACGGTATACCCTGTTGCTCCGACCTGTTCAGGTAGCGCGGCTCCGGCGGCGAGGGATGCGGCGGCAACGGCGGTTGAGCGTGCGGGTGTTGCTGGCCGTGCGGAGACTGACGGTTGTGCGAGTGCGGCGCAGGCGCCGGCGGCGGTGGCGGCGGGTGCCCATGCGGACTCGGCAGTTGCGTCGTTGTCGTCGGCACGGCGCCACCGCCGCCGCGGTGATGGCTCGCCGGCGGCGGTATGCTCTTCGCCGCCGCCTGCAGCCCGTCGAGGTGGTGCAGATGGTGCGGGCTCTGCGTCGGGCTCTTGTACTCGTAAGCGGACGACTTGTGCTGCGGCGCCACCGGCTGGACGTTCAGGTAAGACATCATTTTCGGACTGGACGAGTGCTGCTGCTGCGGCGCCGGTGCCTTCGGCAACTCCCGTCCCTCGTTCTTCACGATCACCGAGCTCTTGTGGTCCGGCAGCAGAGACGGCGGGTTCAGCACCTCTCTGCCGTGGTGGTCCCTCTCGAGGCCGCCGGCCAGTCCGCTCTTGCCCGGCAGCGACTTGTGCGGCTGGCCCAGCTCGCTCTTCACCTTCATATCGTGCATGTACGTCGGCGAATACGTGTAATTGAATATGTTTATGTTCGGCTCGGCTTTCGGCAGCGAGCTGTGCGACGGCCCCACCACCGGCGGCGCCTTGTCGTGCAGGGTGCTGACCGAGGGTAAGGACGACTTCGACGTTCGCGAGTGCGCCGGTGGTGGGTGATAGTCGACTTTTCCGGGCACGCTCGAGGGCCGGGATACCTGAAACACGTCGTCGCGTTTTCCTTACAAACTTATCCTGCCGATCGATGTTCATTCATTATCGAGGAAAGGGGGCAAAACGGGAGCGGTGGGAGCCTTGTTGTCGGCCTCTCCGACAACGTTTCGCATTCGTCGCAACAGTTGGCGTTACTTGCGTATGTCGATTAGGCCCGATTCGAATTTCGTATTTCGTAGGAAATTGCGGTCGGACATTGCTAGTTCGACCGCTAAACAGTTGTTGGAGCCTCAACAATCGGCACCTCGACGACCAATTAGTAAGCGAACGACACCAGGTGTTGCGACGGGTGCGCATATTGACGTCGGTTAGCATCTTCGTGAAAAAATGAAAGAAGGACATACCTGTTGAGACGGCGGCGCCGTGGCCGCGAAATAAGCGGCCCCTTGCTGAGCGGCGACGTGACCCCTGGACTCCTGCCGGAGGTGCAGCCTCACCGCCGTCGCCAGTTGGTGCTCATTCTCCCGTTGCTCCCACTCGCGTTCCCGCTCCCGTTCCTCGCGCTCCCGTTGCTGCTGCTGCGCCACGGTCACGGGGTGAGCGACTGCCGCGGCGGCTGCGGTCGCGCCCGGACCGCCGGGATGGTGGTGGCCGGCGTGCGGAGCGGTCATCCCCGAGTGCGGCGCCCCGTGGCTTCTACCGGTGGGCGGCAACGGAATGAAGGTGTTCCACGACAGAGAGCTACCCCTCTGTGGAGCATAAGATATCTATTTCAATCAATACTGTCCAATCGCCGCCGTCACTTGTCGGTAATGATCACTCATTCGGGGAACGACAGGGCCGATAAATCTACAGTCAAATGAGGGCTCTCTCTTCCACCGAGGGAAGTCGGAAACGAAACGACGTTCGGCTGATTCTCGGGGAAGCCCGTTTGACAGATCTTGTTTCTTACTTCTCGATCGAGCGAGCCTCGCAATTTCCATCTCGTCGGCTTTATTATTATTCGCCGAGATGTTCTTTATATAAGCGCGAGCTCTGCATTCTCTGTCGTTCGCGCAGGCATACGTGGCATGCGTGTACACACACGTATGCGCTCGGGACGCACGGCGCGTCATTCAATTGTCAGGCAAATAACGAACTGACGCAGACGTGCGCGCGCGCGTATGCACACATGACACAATGATGTCACGTGCGCGCTACGATTATCGTTCTTTCGTGCGCGCGTACACACCGGTATAAATACCATTTTAGCGACGCAGCCTCCAATTGCGCCTCGCAATAACGCGTACGTGGCCCTGCCCGCGTCTGACTGCTGAATCGCGCACTTGCGCGTGATCCGTGAGATATCCACGTTCTGTTCGCGTGGTTACCCCAAATTCTTCGCCAGACGTCTCATTAGCATGCATGGAGGCTCACGCGGGAGGGGGGGGGCGGCGAAGAGCGGGGGAAATACGTGGCGCGTACGATACAGCCCGTGGCGGCGATCGAACCACGTTTAAAATTGCCGGCACTTTCCAAGTTCACGTGTGCGTGTATGTGCGTGCACGTATGTGTCGTCGAGCCGTTTACGAAAGAGAGAGAGAGAGAGAGAGAAAAGAGAGACGTTCGATGTTCAGCCGCGGGAAAACTCGTTTTCCTCGCACGCGCGCGCGCCGTTGCACCGCGACTCGCGTGTCGTAACGTAGAGCGCAATCAAGATCAACGTCGAACGGGCGTACTCACGCTATAAAAAAAAAAAAAAGAAAGAAAAGTTCTAATATCGTGTATCTGTCTATTAAAAAAAAAAAAAGAAGAAAAAAGCACATAGTGGGCTCGAAATAACGGTAGCAATAACGCGAAAGTTGCCCGACATCGTTATTTTAAGTTGTCATTTTTTCCGTGGGAGAATTCTATCGGAAAATCCCGTAGGGAAAAAAAGACCTAAATATAATCTCTTTCTTCTGGGAGAGGCCGTGGCGGAACGTCAAAAGAGCGGTAAACGTCGCTTTTTCATCCCGAGTGCTTCCTAAATGGATACCTTTCTTCTCCGTCTCCCTCTCTTGTTCTCATATTTTCGTCCTCTTTGCGACGACTATACATCTCCCGTATCATACATCTTCATCGTGTATCAATTTTAATCATTCGCTCTCACAGAATCTGCCCTTGATACAATTGATTCCATCTTCCGTCTTTCTTTCCTTCCTCTTCCCCTCGAGCGCGCGATCCTCGGAAAGTGCGCTTGTTCAAGTAGCGCCTCCGTAATTCTCCGCCGTCTCGACACTTGGTGGACGGTGGATTTACGCGCAACAAGATTCGTGTTTTCGCGTCACACGTCGCGAACGCGATGGAAAACAACGGCGGAGATCGATGGTAGATACTACCGGTTGGCCGCGCGCGCGCGCGCGAAATCGCGAAGAAGCGTGTCGCGTATGCATGTACATTCGCCGTTGAACGAAAATTCACGCGGGTGACGATGAGCGCGAAGATCGTTTGTCTCCGGCGCCGTGAGAGGTCTCGAAAATACTCAACGCGAAGTTGCCGAACGAACTTCGACGTGTAACTAAGGAGTAACTTCCCGGCGAGAGAGGATCAAACAAACAACTTCCGCTCGTAGCCAACGCTCGTCGATTAAACTCGACGGAACTCGTTTCTGGAGCGGCTGGAAGGCCGTAAATTAATGTAATCAAGTAACCGGTATATCGAGTCGCCGACGCGCGCTCCGAGAGAGAAGACGGTAAATATATCGGGTAGAGCAGGGCTCGCTCGCGCAATTCCGGAATTCAAAGTCCCCCGTCGAGAAGACATCAGGCGGATTGCCGACCAGCCAATATCGGAATACTTTCCGAGTTGGTGACGTCGGTCCCGTTGCGCGAGTGAAAATGTTCGTTTCATAAATGGAATTATCATTTCCCAAACGAGAGAGAGAGAGAGAGAGAGAGACGGTCCGATGGAATTCTTCGATCTCGATTCGCGAGAAACCGAAGACACACCTGTCCCACCCACTTCATATATTATAGACGACGCTGCACACATCAGATATCTCCAATATGAAGAACACGTTCGGCGAATATTTCATCCCCGAGGGTGCTTTCCGCTTCAACGAGGAAATTCGAGTTCGATACGACCGGTGCGCGCTTCTTCCGAGAAAGAGCCCCGACGACTCGTCGACCTCTTCTCGAGCGAAGATCGTGTCAAGGTCTTCGCAAGGTCTCTCGGGACGAATCGAAGAGAGACGGCGGCGACGTAGCGTCTTCGCCGAACGAGGAGGTGACTCGAGGTGATGGCTGAGCAAGAGGCCGCGAGCTGTGAATCTAATTATAGGTTTGCGAGAGAGAAGAAGGTTTACTATGCTAATCGAGGCGCGAGTAAATGTCAACCCACGTTCTGTTTACCCCGGCGCTCGCGTCACCGCATCCCGCGCGCTTTTAACGTTACACGTACATGCGCGAGACGCGTCGTTACAAAAGAAAGGCGCAACGAGCGCGACGGCTCGGCACAAAAGCCGGCAAAGTCCTCGTTAAAAGCGCTCGGCGAACGCAACGTTAACGTGTCGCACACACACATCCATCACGGATGAAGCGGTCGAAACCGCCGCACCATGTGTGTTATGCGCGCGCGCACGTGTGTGTGTGTGTGTGGGTCTCTTGCGTTCGCCAAAGGTTTGTTTAAAGAGAACACTTCGCGCGCCCGCGACATTAGTTATTTATTTATACCGTCTATTTATTAGAGGCACGCAAAAAGGTTATAATCGTGCGCGACTCTTATAAAATAATACTCTAAAAATATTGCGCACGCTGTGCTGTGTTATTTAACAGTCCGGCTCCGAGCCGATCGACAGGTAACATCGCCGTCCGACGTGACCGATGAGCGTTTTCTCATCACGGTGAACCTCCAACGCGTGATTTCCATTTCGCTCCGCGCTCATAGAAAATTATAGTTATCTTCGGGGCCAAACCCTTGTATTGACCTTAACCACAAAAATAGTCAGGGGAACCATTTCTTTTTTTTCCTAGTAACTGTTACTATAATGCCAGTGATAATGATCTTACGTGCACGTCGCTACCGCTATAAAATATGCTTGGCGCCGAAAATAACCATAATTTTCTATCAGTGCGATGTGCGATAGCACGCGCGCGCGTGCGGCGAATCTCACGAAGCAAAATTATTTCTCAAAAAGAGAGAGAGAGAGAGAGAGAGAGAGAGAAAAATATATAACATACGCAGGATACGCGCTCTCTTAAGGGGTTGAATGACTCCGAGTCCCCTCCCACGCGTTCAGCAAATAACAGTGGGATACGCGCGATTCGGCCTCTGCGCGCCCTCGCGATTGTGTACATCGCGTTTCGATCGACGTGGCCGGGCACACATCACGTAAGCCCCTCAAACCTATACTTGAGAGCACGCCACCGGGTATACGTCGCGCGCACGATGTAGGACGAGCGCGAGAGAACGCGAGAGTCGCCGCCGCCATCGGCGCAGGAGGAGGAGGACGACCGAGGGAGGAACGAAGACGGATTATAACCGATTGCACGTAATAAAAGCGGCGTGCCATTCAGAGTCAATCAAGAAACGCTCGCTATTGGTTCGTTGACTTTCTCCCGCTGCTGAACTCTCAACCCGCCGCCGATTAACTTCTCACGCGAGCCGCGCGCTTTTTTCCCCGTCTCGTTCCTCGCGTGTAAGCGCGATCGTCGTTACTTACGAGAAAATTTTCGCTATACTTCATTTAGACGAAATACGCGGGAAAGAGAGAGAGAAGGCGGAGGTTCCGCAACACCGGACAGGTGTTGGGATACGGTAAAACGCTCGAGTCGCGTTTACGGTAAACGGTAATGTAATCCGCCGATGGAAATCACCGCCGATAATTCACGGCTGTTCCCTCCGCTCGTCGCTCGACAAGCGGACAAGCGGGCAAGCGCAAGTTAGCGTTTATCGTATCCGGAATACGGTGTTGTGCGGGAAACTTTCTAATTTCCATCGCAGCGAATTCACACTGGCGTGGTGTGCGAAGGATCACGAGAGGGAGAGAGGGGAAGGGGGNGGGGAAGGGGGGGGGGGGGAGTAAAAAACAGTGTCTCGGATACCGAGACGGATCGCGATACGGATTTCGCGTCGCGTCGGGTAAATTTCTGCGCGGCTGCCTCCGCGTCATCGCTCCGATTATTTAGCTTATCGCTCGCGCGCGTTGCGTGTGTTATTACAGAAAGGAAATGATTTGCACAGATAGCGCGCGAGCCGGCCGCTGAGTCATACCCGAGGAAAAAGTTTAGATCGTCTCGTAACACGATCGGCGCAATGATATATTCGAGTATGCCGCGTCGGGCGTATCGCGAAGAGCGCGGAGGCGCGAGCGAGCGAGCGGACAAACGTGATCGAACTTCGCAAACACGTTCCTCGAGTAATTATCGGTCGGGCGTCCGAAGTATAGTTCTTAGCCGCCAAGGACATTCCTCAAGCGGTACGGGATTAACGATCATAACGGCACCGTCCTAATGACTATCCATTTTTACGAGCGTGGCTGAAAGTAGCGCGCGTCCTTGGGAACAAAACACACGGTGTATCGATGGATTAGGCGTCGTGGCTGAATTATTCGTTACGCAAGAGGCCGGCTGAGAACGGGAATAAGTTCATGTGTCGCTAACGCTGCTACGAACGCGCGAACAACGATGTGTACAATTCGCTGCCTAATTTAGAACGCGACACTCCCGCGATACAAAACCGACCGACTTTTGTGACGAATCGCCGACGGATTTCTAGTCGTAAGACTCTCAACGCAAACACGCTGTGA